CTGTACCATCTCACTGTACCATCTCACTGTAACCATCTCACTGTAACCATCTCACTGTACCATCTCACTGTAATAATCTCACTGTACCATCTCACTGTACCATCTCACTGTAGCAATCTCACTGTACCATCTCACTGTAACCATCTCACTGTACCATCTCACTGTAACCATCTCACTGTACCATCTCACTGTAACAATCTCACTGTACCATCTCACTGTAACAATCTCACTGTACCATCTCACTGTACCATCTCACTGTAACCATCTCACTGTAACCATCTCACTGTAACAATCTCACGGTAATAATCTCACTGTACCATCTCACTGTACCATCTCACTGTAGCAATCTCACTGTACCATCTCACTGTTACAATCTCACTGTACCATCTCACTGTAACAATCTCACTGTACCATCTCACTGTACCATCTCACTGTAACCATCTCACTGTACCATCTCACTGTAGCAATCTCACTGTACCATCTCACTGTAACCATCTCACTGTAACCATCTCACTGTACCATCTCACTGTAATAATCTCACTGTACCATCTCACTGTAGCAATCTCACTGTACCATCTCACTGTAGCAATCTCACTGTACCATCTCACTGTAACAATCTCACTGTACCATCTCACTGTAACAATCTCACTGTACCATCTCACTGTAACAATCTCACTGTACCATCTCACTGTACCATCTCACTGTACCATCTCACTGTACCATCTCACTGGAACCATCTCACTGTAACCATCTCACTGTAACCATCTCACTGTACCATCTCACTGTAATAATCTCACTGTACCATCTCACTGTAGCAATCTCACTGTACCATCTCACTGTAGCAATCTCACTGTACCATCTCACTGTAACAATCTCACTGTACCATCTCACTGTAACAATCTCACTGTACCATCTCACTGTACCATCTCACTGTAACCATCTCACTGTACCATCTCACTGTAGCAATCTCACTGTACCATCTCACTGTAACAATCTCACTGTACCATCTCACTGTACCAATCTCACTGTACCATCTCCCTGTAACAATCTCACTGTACCATCTCACTGTAACAATCTCACTGTACCATCTCACTGTAACCATCTCACTGTACCATCTCACTGTACCATCTCACTGTACCAATCTCACTGTACCATCTCACTGTAGCAATCTCACTGTACCATCTCACTGTAGCAATCTCACTGTACCATCTCACTGTAACAATCTCACTGTACCATGTCACTGTAACAATGTCACTGTACCATCTCACTGTAACAATCTCACTGTAACCACCTCACCTTAACCGCCTCACCTTAATGACAATGTCGACGGAGCCGACATCGGAGTCAAGCGTTGTTGGGGTGTACTTCCTCGTGAACTCCACCCCGCTCTCGTCCCTCCCCCTGGCAGGGCGGACACACAGCAGGGGAATAGGTAGGGAATATGTGGTAGGGAATATGTGGTAGGGAATATGTGGTAGTGGGTTAGAGCGGAAAAACAGCACCAGGAGATGCGAGAGCCATCCTGTAGCCACTTCCTGGAGAAATTTGAAAAACAAACGGCCGCATGAGGTGAGGAAAAAGGCATCATCTCGGCATTGCTTGAGAAAGCGATACAACAGTACTACCGCTTTAAAATAAGTACTGCAGAATGACGTGCTGCCCGATGGGGAGTCCGGGGACTGTGTCTGGCGACTGCAGAGAATGAAGGACTATTCAGCGTCAACGTAGGACGTTGGTGATCTTACTGCAGAATGACGTGCTGCCCGATGGGGAGACCGGCCGGGGACTGTGTCTGGCGACTGGAGCCCCAGAACGAGTTGGCCTATGGGCAGTCCGAGAACAGGGTCCGGTGGGGGCTAAGAAAGAGACATAAGGCGTTGACTTTCTTACTGCAGGGTGACGTGTTGGCAGATGGGGAGGCCCAGGACAGAGTCCAGGACAGAGGAAGGGAGACATAAGGAATTGACGTGCTTACTGCAGAGTTGCCCTCTGGGTAGTCCGAGAACAGGGTCCGGTGGGTAGTCCGACCAATGCTTGCTGCAGGGTTGCCCTATGGGCAGTCCGAGAACAGTTCCGAGAGCAGTGCCCGGGACTAAGAGAGACGTAAGGCGTTCACGTGCTGCCCGATCAGCAGCCCCAGAACAGGGTATGGCGACTGCAGCTAGAACAGGGCATGGCGACTGCAGCTAGAACAGGGCATGGCGACTGCAGCTAGAAGGGTGTCGGGGAGCTAAGAGGGACGTGAGGGGTTGACTTTCTTACTGAAGGATGACGTGCTGCCCGATGGGGAGGCCCAGGACTGTGTCTGGCGACTGCAGGGAGAAGCGGAATTTGACGACGTTGTGGGTGATGCTGGTGCGCTCGACCAGCTGGAATTCACGCCATTCCTCGAGATGCAGAGCCACTGATGGGGGAGAGAGAGAGAGAGAGAGAGAGAGAGAGAGAGAGAGAGAGAGAGAGAGAGAGAGAGAGAGAGAGAGAGAGAGAGAGAGAGGGCCATAAGGCCGACCTCGCCATGCGCGACAGAGACTCCGGTGCCGTCTGGATCTGTGACGTCACTGTCACGGACCCCATCAGCACCCGGGACCCGCACGCACGCAAGGGGCGGGGATATATGGCCCGGGAACAGGCCGATAAGAAGATTGATCACTACCGTAACCGCGCACCTTATGTTGGCTTCTTCCCCTTGGCCGTGGAGACCTATGGCTGCCCCTGCGCCGAGGTCCCCAGCTTTCTGAAGCTCCTGGCGGACACAGGGGCAAGGCGGCTTTTCAACGCGGACCCGAGCTCCTACCAGGCGGCGAAGCTGCTGCATCAGTTCCGCCAGCGCTGGTCCATCACGCTCCAGCGGGCACAGGCCCTGGCCTACCTCGGAAAAGTCAACGAGGCTGCCCCGGCAGAGTACCCCCCCGTGGGTACCCCTGACGCCATCATGGGCCTAGGGGACTGTTTTGCCATAGCGGAGCCCCTCGGGGAGCTCCAGTAGTCCGGCTGCCCATCCCCAGCATGCACGTACCTTCGATATGGTTTGAAGTCTGCCCACTTGTTTAGTATGTACAACGTTCTCAATCAATACATGGACCGCTTGAGAGAGAGAGAGAGAGAGGGGAGCAGGAGAAGAAGGCTGAAAGGACAGATGACCCTGTGAGTCAGCTTCTATATTTGAGTCTGTGACCCTGTGAGTCTGTGACCCTGTGAGCCTGTGACCCTGTGACCCTGTGAGCCTGTGAGCCTGTGAGCCTGTGCCCCTGTGAGCCTGTGACCCTGTGAGTCTGTGACCCTGTGAGCCTGTGACCCTGTGAGTCTGTGACCCTGTGAGACTGTGACCCTGTGAGTCTGTGACCCTGTGGAGTCTGTGACCCTGTGAGCCTGTGACCCTGTGAGTCTGTGACCCTGTGAGCCTGTGACCCTGTGAGTCTGTGACCCTGTGAGTCTGACCCTGTGAGCCTGTGACCCTGTGAGTATGTGACCCTGTGAGACTGTGACCCTGTGAGTCTGTGACCCTGTGAGTCTGTGACCCTGTGAGCCTGTGACCCTGTGAGTCTGTGACCCTGTGAGTCTGTGACCCTGTGAGTCTGTGACCCTGTGAGTCTGTGACCCTGTGATTCTGTGACCCTGTGAGTCTGTGACCCTGTGAGTCTGTGACCCTGTGAGTCTGTGACCCTGTGAGTCTGTGACCCTGTGAGTCTGTGACCCTGTGAGTCTGTGACCCTGTGAGTCTGTGACCCTGTGAGTCTGTGACCCTGTGAGTCTGTGACCCTGTGAGACTGTGACCCTATGCAGAGGCACTGAAAGGAGCGACTCGCCTCAAACCCCAGCCTCCCTCCCTTCCGAGGGAGAAGGGAGGATGAAGGAAGGGTGAAGGGAGCAGGTGGAAGAGCAATGAGCGGACAAATGGAAGAATGTCCGACCATCTGCTAACACATGCCTTCTGAGTCGGCGTCACGTGCTGGTTGGCTTTTGAGTCGACTCAAAAGTCACCACGTGGAAGAGCAATGAGTGGAGCGGACACATGCCTTCTGAGTCGGCGTCACGTGCTGGGTGGATCGCTTGCCATTCCTCTTGCGACCCAGAAACTGGGTCACTAGTACCGGCAGAGGCACCGGCTTGCCGTCAGTACTAACGGAACTCACCCGGCGACTCGTTCAGCAGCTGTGGCTGTAGAGGATCTGCAACCTCAGCCATGGCGGCGAGCCGAGAATGCCGCGAATGCGAAGAATGGCGTGAACGGCGGGAATGGCGTGAACGGTGGCAAGAATCTGGCAGTCAATCGCTGGGGAAAGGGACTGTGTGGTCGGCGGCAGGCGTCTGTCGAGATTCACGCGATCGTGGAGCGGCGCTGAGAGATTCTAGCCGCCAAGTGGTCAACGTGTCAGTTGAAGGAGCGGCGGATTTGAGCTAATCAAGGGTGACTCTGAGACGTCGGATTAGAACATAGAGGGTCCAGATTTGATGGCCACTTTTCGAGGACAGGTCACGGGAGAGGAGATTGCGTCGTGCTTTCTGCCAGAGGGATTGCTGTCAGAGAATTGGCGGGCGTGGCAAAATTCGAGGGGCTGGCGGGCCCGTTTCGAGGACGAAATCCGTCTCGTCGCTGACAACGGTCCCATAGAGAAACTCAAGCCTAGATTTAGGTATAACTGCAACCAAAGCGTATGAGTAATCTGTTTTAGTTGCATTATATTATAATTCTTAGGTTTCCTAAACTCCTCTTATCCGATTAGCCACTAGCTCGCTGTCTAGATTCCCCTCGGCTCTGATACCATATTGATATTTTCTGAGTGGTTGCAGAACCTCAATAGTTATCTTAGAACCAAGTAAAGTTTAGAAACCGTAGGAGCTAGGAATTTGGGCATGACTGTTGAGTGACCCGCTGGGGTTGCCCTTGAGATCCTCGGGGAAGGGCCACAGGTGCAGAGCCTGGGGGGCTATGGGCGCACTTACCCGCTATTCAACAAGCCCTTTTAACCCAGTGGTTAGTGACTGGGTTTCTGACAATGACTTGTACATAAGAACCATGCAATCCAAATGTGTGATCCAACCAAATGGCAACCCAACCTAGAAGCGTTTGGGAGGTGACTCACTACAAGTTTTCCCAACCCAACCAAGTCTCTCTACATTGCTCTAGCGTAGTTCCATAATTCATATGTTTATTTTAGTACCTATATTTCCAACACTAGTCGAGGTTGGGCTCCCTGAGCTAATTACTTGAGCTCCTTACTGCTTATTGCAATGCTTCCATGCACCGACTACGACATGCACCTTGGGCTAGTAGTACACACACCACTGCCCACTAGCACTGCTGCTGCTGCTGCTGCTGCTGCTGCTGCTGCTGCTGATCCTGCAGCTGCTGTCACCACACACACGCCCCTTGAAGCCAGTCCATCATGGCGTGAGCATGCTCGCTCGTCATCTCATGGCATGCATACGCCACATTCAACTTCTCCTCTATTGCACCTTGCAGCGCTGCCCGTCCCCACTACGCTGCGCAGGTTGTGCTAGCTATACACACACCGCCCACTAGCACCGGTGCTCCTGCTGCTGGTGGTACTGCTGCTGCTGATGCTGCTGTCACCGCCGCACGCCCCTTGAAGCCAGTCCATCATGGCGAGAGCATGCTCGCTCGTCATCTCATGGTACGCGTAAGCCACATTCAGCTCCTCCTCTATTGCACCTTGCAACGCCTCCATGCCCCCACTCTCACTGCTTCCCTCCGTCCCCTCCTCCTCCTCCTCCCCATCGCCCCCCCCTGCCCTCTCGTCTGCCCCTCTCTCACTCCTCTGATAACTCTGATACCTCCTGCTAATTTCTTCTAGCTCATCCATAACCCCTTCTTTCTGCAGTACAGCCACCCACCCGGACCTCCTGCCATCCCGAACCATCCTCCCATCCTCCCCCACTACCCCTCCCTGCTTTAAGGCTTGGAAAATCCGTTCCGAAGCTGATGGGGACAGGTTCGGTATCCGGTCCGATAGGAAGCTCGGCCCGAGCCTCTTCTCCAGGCACGAGATCTGCCCCGCTTCGGCCCCTTTCGATCGGAGGTTCTCAACCGCTCGTTCGATCGCCTCTGCGCGCTGCTCGTCTTTAGGCATGTGGACGAAAAGGGTCGGCGGGTATGGCCGCCCCGAGGGCAGCGGCAAGTCAAACGCCTTTCTGACACCACTGGATATGATGATAACGAGTGCTTGGAGATCTACAGCATGTGCTAATAGCGAGATGAAGTAGCCACCGGAAGAGGCCCCTAGGGCGAAGAGGGGGAGGGTATGGCATTGCTGGCGCTGCCGCCACGTGGTGAGAGCTTGCACGACCGGAGGGATGTCGAGGGAGCGTTCTGGAGGAAAGGAGGTATCCCAACAGGTGGAGAGGCTGGGGAGGGGAGGGGTGGGGGGGAAGGGGGGGGGGAAGGGGAGAGGAGTGGGGGCACTCTGCGCTGGCGCCAGGTGGTGAGAGCTTGGACGATGGGAGGGATGTCAAGGGAGCGTTCTGGAGGAAAGGAGGTGTCACAACAGGTGGAGAGGCTGGGGGAAGGGAGGGAGGGGGGGTTGGGGGAAAGAAAGGGGCAGGAAGGGGTGAGGTGGGAGGGTGAGGGATTGACGGGGATACCTGCGGTGTGGGGGCCTGAATTGATACACTAACTGCCTGATTACGACCTGCCTGGTTACGACCTGCCTGGTTACGACCTGCCTGGTTACGACCTGCCTGGTTACGACCTGCCTGGTTACGACCTGCCTGGTTACGACCTGCCTGGTTACGACCTGCCTGGTTACGACCTGCCTGGTTACGACCTGCCTGCGTGAAGCCTACCTGGAGAAGCTGGAAACTGCGAATCTGCTCTCACAGACGTGCTGAACAGGGGCCATGTCTTCACGCAGACCCACCCACGCAGGACAGGAGGGCAGTCGGGGTGTGGCGGCAGTAGCGGGCGGCTCTGTGCATGCAGCCGTGGGCGAAGAGACAACCTGCCTAAATACAACCTGCCTGAATGAAGCCTGCCGGAATACAGCCTGCCTGAAACTCGCAATGCCTACCAGGAGATGCCAAAGTTGGCAAGGCGCCTCTCACGGCCGTGCTGAACAAGGGCCATCTCCTCTGGCAGGCCCAGGCAGCCGCGGCAGTTGGCGTGTGGTGGGCAGCAGTGGATGGCTCGGTGCATGCAGCCGCGGGCAAACAATCTACCCGGCTACAACCTCCTGGCATGCAGCTCACTTGGAGGTTGCAATCCCTGCGAGTCCACGCTCAAGGGCCATGTCCTCTGGCAGACCCAGGCACGAGGGGCAGTTGGCAGTAGCCACCGGCTGACGCAGCTGGAATAGCCTACCTGGAAATGGCAATGACGGCAAATCTCCTCTTGAGCGCGTGCTGCACGAGGGCCATGTCCTCAGGCAGACCCACGCACGAGGGGCAGCTGGCGTGAGGTGGCCAGAAGTGGGTGGCTCGGTGTGTGCACCCGTGGGCGAAGAAGGCCACGCCGGCCAATGGGAGATCGCCACGTGGCACCTGCCAGACCACCTCTCTCCCGTGTATGGTTTCATATACTGGCACCAGCGCTGGCGCTTCTCCCCCCTCCTTCCCCTCCTCACCCCGAGCAGCAGCAGCAACTACGTGCGCTTCTGCCCCCTCCCTCCGAGATTTCTCCTGCACCTGTTGCGTCCCCCCCCCCTCATCCTCCTCCTCATCATCAGCACCACTCTCCTTTCCCCCAAGCATCCCTTCCTGCACCCCTTTCGTCCTCCCCTCTTTCTCCTCCCTCTCCTCCCTCTCCTCCCTCTCCTCCTCTTCTACCTCCTCCTCCTCACTCTGTTCTCTCTTGCTCTTCCTCTTCCCTGTCCTACCCGCGACCTCTGCATCCTCCCCCTCCCCCCCATCCCCCCCCTCCTCCCCCTCATCCTCCTCATCGTACCGCACTGCATCCCTCTTCATCGTCTTCTGAAGCGCTCCTCTAGGCACCTCCTCAATCTCGCCATCATCACCATCACCAGCCCTCTCCTTTGCCCCCCCTTTATCCCCCTCACCACTCCTCCCCTCCACCCCATCGTCATAGTCAAACCCTTCCCCGGATTGCCTATGCCTCTTCTTACCCCTCCCATCCCCCCCTCTCTCCCCATCCTCACCTCTCCCACCCCCCCCTGTCCCCTCATCCTGACCCCTCCCATCCCCGTCCGCTCCCCCGTCCTCACCCCTCCCGTGCTCCCCTATCCCCCCATCCTCATCATCCGCCCCCTCCTTGGCCCTTCCTCTCCTCCCCTCGTCGCCCCTACCCCCCACCCCATCGTCATAATCAAACCCTCCAGAAGGCTTGCCTCCCTTGCTCTTATCTCCTACCTCTCTCTCTCCCTCGCCCTCTCCCTCCTCCTCCTCCTCCTCCTCATCCCCCTCTCCTCCGCCGCCCTTCCTTGCACTTCTTCTCCCCTCACTATCTTCCCCAACTTCCGCTCCCCTCCCCTCCGCGCTCTCCTCCTCCGCGCTCTCCTTATTTCCGCTCTCCTTCTCCGCGCTCTCGTCATCCTCATCCTCCTCTCGACCACTCTCCTCTGCTCCCTTCTTCTTCGTCCCCTGCCTCAACAGCCCTTCCTCTTCCGCCTCACCCTCCCCTTTTTCTTCCCCCTCCGCTTCCCCCTCCGCTTCCCCCTCCGCTTCCGCCACCCTCTCTTCCGCTCCCCCTGCCCTCAGCAAGTCGGACCGACCCACAGATTGCCTTGAAGCATCCAACTCGCTAAAGGCAGTCTCCCCTTTCTTCTTCTTTTCCGTTCCCGTTTTCCTTCCCGTCTCCGTTTCCGTTTCCGTTTCCGTCTCCGTCTCCGTCTCCGTCTCCGTCTCCGTCTCCGATTCCGTTTTTGTCTCCTGACGTTCTCCAACGTCGTCGTCATCGACGGATGTTAGACCAGACGGCAGAGTCGGCCGCACTGACGGTTCCAGTACCGGCATCACGGGCGGAGGCGATTTCGAATCTGTGAACACCTCGGAAGAGAGCGAATCAAGCTTCGCCACGTCAGCATCTCCGAAACCACCACTCTCCTGTTTCCCGCCATCCCCGCCATCCCCGCCATAACCAAGATTCTGATTAAACCGCTGCTTCGATATAGTCCCTTCGCCGAAGTCGATCGTGCGATGGTGCGACCGGCGACCGCTGCGACCGTGGCGACCGTGGTGGTGGTGTCGCCGGGCGTGTGGCGACTCCTTGGAGACGAGGATAAACGCCGCCAGGAAAAACGCCGCCAGCACGTACGTCGCGCCGCGCGCGCGCCGCACGGAGATGTTGTAGCTCGCAGACGCCACTCGGGGGCTCCTAGGGATGTACATAACGGATAGTATCTAACGCCACTCCGAAACTACCGGAGAAGGAAAACGGCTACTACGACATGCGCAAAAGAACTGCTAAGCCAGTGCTACCAGGCTGCGGGAAAAGAAAGACTCTGACTCTATTAGACTCTGTAGAAGAGTGTATCTAGACGATTGTGTTCGTAGAAGCTCGGCAGATGGAAAAGAAACTACTGCCGCCGTGTCGCACTACAGGAACCCGAATCTGTACTGCACCCGTGTCAGACCACGAGACCACCAGGCGGGAAACCTGTGGGGCTGTGGCTGCGACTGGTGGCGACGATCTGGCGATTCGCGACGGCTCGCGAGGTGGGGGCACCACCCACGGACGACGTTCGTTCACAACGCGGGGAAGAGAGCGTTTATCGTTGCCAATGACGGAACACTTGCAGGGATAGAACACTGCATCTGTTATCAGACTAAAAAGGGTGTTGCAGTCTTAATATACTTCCTAAAGTGGTCCTAGCACACCAGTAGCAGTCTAGAACGCCCCTTCAGCATTGGCAGCCATAACATCTAAGCAATCAGAGCTCAACGCACCTCGACATACAACCATGACACTGCTCGAAGCATAAAAAGCACCCTAAACCGGCTGTTGATCAAGGCCCACATGGGCTATTGATTTAACTGCTCTCTTGGTCCATCTGGTACCGGTATCTCACCACAACGCAAGCGAGCAATGGCCTGCGCCCAAGAGCCATCGGAGCAGCTTCTCAAAACCTGTAACGCAAATCCTAATAGTCTAAGCAAGAAAACACGAGCCACAGAGCTTCCGAGGAATGTGGGGTTGCCAGAAGCCACAGGGTATAACTTACGAGAAATGGAGAGAGGAGGGGGATACAGGGGTGTGGGGATGGGGAGGGAGAAAGCTGGTAGGTAGGTTAGTCAGACACATGTGTGTGCCTTGGTGGAGGAGGTAGGGAGTGGAGAGAGAGGGAGGGGACGGATAGGGCGAAGGGCAAAGTTGGAGAGAAATAATGGGGGTGGGGGGGTGGGGGGGGAGGTGGTGAGGTGAGAGGCCGCTTATCCAAGCGGAACAAACATGCTCGTTTCGGCGAGATCACTACCACCATTGCTACACCTGCTGCTGCTGCTGCTGCTGCTTTTGTGATCCCCCTTGCCACTGCAGCAAACAGCCTGCTGCTGCTTCTGCTGCTGCTGCTCCAGCTACAAGGCAGTCTGGAAGGCTGTGCCATGTCCACAAGTCACCAATGGCCCTCCCCATCCCAAAAAGCTTTCAAACAGGTCGAACGATCCCTTGGGTGGGATGTCTCTGCCTCCCTTCCACTCTCAGCTGCTGCTGTCCTGCTCTGCCCTATTCCGCCTGCTGGCCCCCAGCTAACCCCTCCGCCTCATTCAAAAGCCAGCAGCCATCTTCCCGCACAAGGCAAACGGCCCCTTGTCATTCAGCGTCGCCGCTAAACAGAAAATCTGCGGCATCAGCGCCTCATCTGTCGCCTTCCTTCCCAGTGCTGTTCTGTCCACTCCCCCCCTCCCCCTCTCCTCCTTCCCCTCCTTTCCCCAGTCTCTTCCTTTCCCTTGCAGGTCGAACGGTCCCTCTCCCATCTGGCAGGATGTGCAGCCGCATCAGCATCTCTCCTGCCCGCCTTCCTCCCCTGTGATATACTAGACCCCTTCCCTTCAACCACTCCTTAATCCACTCCCCTCCCCTCCAAACACTTCTTCATCCCTCCTCCTCTCCCCCAAGTCTCTCCCTTCCCTCACAGGTCAAACAGTCCCGCCCCACTCCCCTTCCCCCACCCCCCCCCTCCCTCCCCCCCCTTCTTCCAACCAAACCTGCAGCCTTATCACATCGAACGACCTCTAGGGCAGGATGTTCGGCCTCAGTAAGGTCTCAGCAGCCGTCTTCCGGCCCTGCCCCGTGGCCGTCGCCATGAACCGCCCCAGCGCCGTCACCGTCGGCTGCCAGTACTACACATCCTCCCTCCCCCATCCCTTCCCTTTCCCCCTCCAGCCGTTTCTGCGAGCACTACTCACCCTCCCTCCCCCTTCCTCCCCTCCCTGCCCCCCCCTCCCTCCAACCACTCTTGCAACCCCTCCTCACAGATCGAACGACCCTTTTGGCAGAATATTGAGCCTCATGAGTGTCTCAGCAGCCGTCTTCCGGCCCTGCCCCGTGGCCGTTGTCATGAATCGCCCCAACGCCGTCACCGCCGGCTGCGAGTACTTGGGCGCCCGGTACTTCTTGATAGCAAACACCTTCTCTAGGATATACACCGCCCACTTGGTCAGCTCCTTGGTTCTCCCCACCACCCCCGCGGCCGCTTCAATGGTATCTAGCTTGACCAGGAGGTCCGCTGCACGCTCGTGGTCCCCTTCGTCCGCCAGCAGGCTCGCCACCGAGGCTAGGCACACCTCCGCCACCCGATTCTCGCTTCGCCGAACCAGCTCCAGTAGGATCGGGACGATGTCCCCCTCGACGAGGCAGAAGGTGGATTCCAGGCTGCACTTCCCCCCGTGCACCTTGCACGATCGGAGCTTGTCCGTACCCATCAAACCGGGGCTGGCTGCCGAGCCTGACCCTGTGCTGGCCGCCGAGGCTCTCGAGTTGGACCGGGAGAAGTTGAGCTTCCAGGTCATGGCCTTGCCGAGCCTGCGGTCGAGCGAGGTTTGGTCGACGAGCTTCGGCGTGGAGTGGGAGAGATTCCCTAACAGCACTGCGGACGGGATCCTCATTACATCCGGCCCCATTTTAAGATAATGCACTGCCAGGGGGATCACCCCAAGCCTAGCCACAATCTGCTGCGCCTCCATATCGTCAGGGTCGGCAAGCTTCGACAGCCCGGACATAATCGCCTCCTGCAACCGAGCCGAACTGGCAGGGTTGGAGCTCCCCGGACCTGACGTTCCGGTACTCGACCCAGGATTCAGGTTCAGAAACTTTTGCATCAGCGTGAAAACCTGCTCCTCTATCCTCACCAGCGGCCGCATCTGCTTGTTCCCGGCCATAGTCCCCAACACAATCACTATCGCCTCCCGCTCCTCCCCAGGTAGCGGCCTGGCTAGGAGCGTGGCGAGCGTTTTGACCACCTCTGGCGGTGCGGCCATCATTTCAGCCGCGTTGTGCTCCTGGCAGAGGTGCCCCAGGAGCAGCAGCGCCGAGGACCTCAGACTCCCCGCCGCAAAGTGCGACGCACTCTCCTGTAACACCTCAAAGATGGCGGTAACCGCGCCGTCATCCTCCATTACCGCCGCGCGCATGGACTTGCTCTCCTTCGCCATGCACTCCAGCGTTCGCACCGCGTAGTCCCGGTTCGTCGCCGGACCCGCCCGCAGCATCGTGATCAATCGGACGGCTGTCCCGTCCTCGTCCAGCGCGTCCAGATCCTGGTCGTCCATCGCCAGATTCGCCAGCGTGGCCTGCGCCGCGTTCTTCACCTCAGCAGACCCCCTCGCGAGGGCTTTAACCAGCGCTGGGATCACCCCTGCTTTTGCCAGAGCCATACGGTTCATGTCGGTGTGGGAGAGGTGCTCTATGGCGCGCGCGGCGGCGGCCTTGCCCTCAGGGGGCCCGTCGTTGAGGAGGGAGACGAGGGGCGGGAGCACCCCGCACTGCACGAGGGACACCCGGTGCGCCTTGTTGACGCCCCACGTCATGACGCCGTCCGCCATCATCATGCGGGTCTCCATGTCACTCTCTGGAGGGAAGGGCGATGCAGGGAAGGGGAGGCGAGGGGGTAGCGGGAAGGGGGGTGGGGAGGGGGGCATACGCGGTTTAAATCCCTCAGGACGCCCTTGTTGGCGCCCCACGTCATGATGCCGCCCGCCATCATCGTTTGCGTCGCCATGGTGCTCTCTGGGATTCACAGGGCACGAGGGGAGTGGGAGGAACAAAGGGGTGCTGGGTTAGGGCGGGTTGAGGGTCGTCGCGCCAGTACGCGTGCAGCACGGCCTCCAGCAGCGCACACAGCCTCAGCCTCTCCCTTGCACGGTCGACTTCCAGTAAACTGGCACCTCGCCTGGCTCCAGCAGCCTATTTTCTTGGCACCTCAAAAACAGCAGCGCACACTGCCTCAGCCTTTCCCCCACCTGGTTTCAGCCTAAACCTACTTCCAAGTAAACTGGCCCCTTACCTGGTTTCAACAGCACAACCAGTGGCCTGAACATCCCAACTAACAGCATCCGGATGGCGACGTAGGGTTCGTCACGCCAGTACGTGCGCAGCACAACCTCCAGCAGCCCTCTCTCCGTGTCTGTCTCGCTTGCACCACCTCCCCCCCCCCCCCCAAAAAACACACACGCACCTGGCTCTAGGAGCACCACGAGCGGCTTGAACATGCCCACGGACGCCATCTGGATGGCGACGTACGGGTCGTCGCGCCAGTACGTGTGCAGCACGGCCTCCAACAGCCCCCCGACGTCGTCCTCCAGGTGCCAGTTGAGCAGCTTGATCATCTCCACCACGCCCATCGCGTCCGTCACCGCCTGCCGCAGCGCCGGGAAGCGCGAGAGCTCTAAGACCAGCTGGATGCCTGCGGTCACGTCGGCAGTGTCGTGCGTGATGAGGTGCACCACAGGGGGGATGCCCCCTGCGTCTGCTATCGCAGTCTGGAGAAGAGCGGAGGACAGGAAGAGAGGGGATGTGGGGCGGGGGGGTGAGGTTCGGCACGAGCTGGATGCCCGCGGTGCCGTCGGCAGTGTCGTGCGTGATGAGGTGCACCACAGGGGGGATGCCTCGCGCGTCTGCTACGGCAGTCTGGAAGGGGGAAGGCAGGGCAAGAAAAGGGGGGGCTGCGTATCAGCTGAAGCAGCGCCAGGAAGCGCGAGAGCTCTAGCAACAGCTGGATGCCCCGGGGAGACAGCGGGCGTGTTGTGCGTGATGCGGCGCACCACAGGGGTATTCCCCCCTCGTCTGCTATAGCGGTCTGGAAAGGCGGGCAGAGGGAAGGGGGATGGGGTTGGGTATCAGCTGACGCAGCGGAGGACGCGAGACAGCTCCAGCACGAGCTGGATGGTGGGGGGCACGTCGGGCGTGTCGTGCGTGATGAGGTGCACCACAGGGGATATCCCCTGTGCGTTTGCCATCACAGTCTAGAACGGGGAAAGACAGGGGAGAGACACGGAATACAGAGCCCCCTGCGTCTGCTATCGCACTCTGGAAGGGGGAAAGGCAGGGGCGAGACGGGGAAAACAGAGAAAGTGGAGTGGGGGGTTGAGCTCCATCACGAGCTGGCCGGCGGGGGCCACGTCGGGCGTGTCGTGCGTGATCAGGTGCACCACAGGGGGGGTATCCTCCCTGCGTCCGCTATAGCTATCTTGGAGGCGAGAAGGGGGCAATGACGGACAAGGATGTATTCTGAGGCGCCCTTAGAATGAAGAGAGGGAGGGGCAATGGAGGAGATGGATGCTGGAGGCCGGCCGGGATGTGATAGGCTTTCGAGAATTTTCAATCACCTAGGGGGCAGTGGGCACTGACGGAGAAGGATGCCTTTTACAGCGCCCTTAGGAAGGAGATAGGAAGGGATGCTGGAGGCCGGACGGCTAGAGCAACGCCGGGTGCGCCTCAAGAGGTCAAGTGCTGGGTGGCCGACTGCCTTTCTTTTAAGAGTGCTCATTTTGAGTCGACTCAAAAGCAGGTCGAGTGCTGGATGCTTAACTGGATGCTCAACTGCCTTTGTTTGAGAGTGCTTATCTGGAAGCGGCCAAGCCAGCCCTTTCCCCTTTCCTGCACAAGTCATGCTAGCGCTGGTTCTTGAAGAACGGCCAGGGACAGAACAGCTAGGTTGGGAACAGGAGCCATTACTTTTCTGGAAGACGTGTGGTGGGACGGCAAGGGAAAGAGTTGTCAAGGGAACTGAAAGCGAACGAGACGGGGGGGGGGCAAGGGAGGCTTCTCAAGGGAGACAGCGGGTGGGGGGTACAACTCACGGCTTCCGCCTCTCCAAGGCTGGCGATGCTCCTCAGCACGGTAACCAATCTCTCCCTTACTGCCCCTCTCCACTCCCCCCCTTCGCCCCCCTTCCCGGCAAAACGCCAGCACGACATGGCTTCCTTTAATCCAACGAGTGCGTCTGATCTACAGCGCAATCGCCCTATTCCATTCCCAAAATAGAAAAAAAAGGGTGCCAGCGTATATCCGAGGGCATGACTCACAGCTTCCGCCTCTCTAAGGCTAGCGATGTTCCTCAGCACGGTAACCGCGGCTTCCCTCACCGCCACAAGGGATCAAGTTAAAAGGGGAGCTATAAGAGGAACTAGAACGGAACGAGAAGGGGGGGGGGGGGGGGGGGGGGAAGTGGGGGGGATCACTCACGGCTTCCGCCTCTCCAAGGCTGGCGATGTTCCGCAGCACGGTAACCGCGCCCTCCCTCACCGCCCCCACGCCTCTCTCCGTCACCAGCCGCACCAGCGGCACCACGGCGCCGCTTTCCGCCAGCTGCGCGGCATACTTCTTATCCTGCGACGAAAGCTGCTGCATCGCCTCCACCGCCTCCTCCTCCCTCTCCCCCCCGCTCGCCGCCTTCGGCTCCTCCTTAGGCGGCGGCTCCGGCCCCTTCTTCTTCTTTTTCGCCGCCGCTTTTTTCTCCTCCTCTTTCTTCCGCTCCTCCTCCGCCTTCGCCGCTTCCTCCGCCAGGATCGCTTCCGCCGCCTCCCCGCCCGCGGCTAGCGCGGCTGCTCTCGCTTCCGCCGCTGCCGCGGCATCCGCCGCTCGTTGCTCCATATCGTCTCGCACTATCCGCGCGGCCTCGTCCAGCGTCTTTCGGTTCAGCTCGTCGTAGCTCTCCTCTATGGCCTTCCGGACCTCCACGTTGCACACCAGCTCCGCGCTCTTGAGATGCTTCCCGGTCTTCGGACACGCGCGCTTCCCCTTCGCGAAGAAATTCTCAATCGCGTTGCGGTTGTAGGTCTCTCCAGTCTCGACCAGCTTCACCGGATCCCGCATAACTTCCCCCGTCATCGCGCACTTAAAGCTATCCGGCACCGCCATGCCCTGCTCCTCGCGGAGCCGCAGCGCGAGGCGCGAAAACGTCTGCGTGATCGGCACCTCGCTGGAGATGCTCGCGAGGCTGACGAGCGTCTTCAACTCCGTGAGCTTATCCACATCCATCCACCGCTCCTCCTTCTCCGCTACGAGCAGATCCCGCTGCACCTCCTCTTTAAGCACATCCGATTGCGACGACGGCATCTCTAGGAACTTTAATACTCGCTCCACCAGCGCCGTCGCGACTTTCTTGCTGTTTTTCGTCACGCCGTCTTCCAGGGCCAGCGACAGCTCCGCGACTTCCGGCTCGGAGTCGAACGTCGCGACCCGCATCCGGCCGCGGAGGTCCGTCAGCCGGTTGGCAACGTCTGTCGGGAGCGACGACATGATGCTGAGCACCGGCATGAGGTTCAGATCGTGGCCCACCTCCTGCACCATCCGCTGCAAGTCGCCGACTAATTTGTCCGTGTCGAAGATTAAGAACAGCCGGCTGCACTCCGTGTGGTCCTTGGTGAGCTTCTTAAGATCGTCCAGAGCCGTTTTCAGCCGCTTCATTCCGTTTAGGGATTCTGCCGACGACTTGGTCAGGTCGCGCTTCGTGTTGAGCTGCGAAAGGACTTCGCGAAGCTCGCCTAGGTAGAACGCCATGGTTAAGAAGCTGGCTGTGTCGACCGGAACCTTCGGCGCGAGCCGCCTGGTCTCCTCGATGGTCTTGACCATCGAGTCAACCATGGACGCCAAACTAGGGTTTGAGGAACTCATGGTGGCCTTTCTGGCGGCGTTAATTCTAACGAGGCGTTAACCCTAACGAGGCGTTAATTCTGACAGAGATGATCTCGACAGGTACCGCTGGGATGTCAGACACGTTAATGCTCGAATAAAATACGAAGCGAAATAAATGACTTTTCTGGTTACGCTAACGCTGACGACGACGACGACGGGTATACTATGTCTGGTCTATCGGACACGGTTTAGGGGAATAGAACGGGTAAGGACGAGGCGCCATGAGGACAATGCAGGATGATACGGTTAGAACAATGTGCTACTGTAAAAAATGGTGAGGAAAGAGCGAACAATGACCAGCGATGTCCCTTAGATCCTTAGATCGACAAAACCCTGGAAGTAAAGCAAGATACCACGTGGCAGTAATGTACCGTCGGCTGGTCTGCTGCCTCTGCTAGCTACAGCAGTACGAGGCTACAAATAGTTACGGAGCCGTCCAACGGCAGATAAAGCGGAGATGGATAGGCTGCAGCAGAGCGTGATGATATGACAAATAAATTGATGGTTCAACGACCAAGTAGGTTCAGATAAAGCAACGGGGATAAGGAAAAGGGGGGGTGGTGGAGAGTGGAAAACGGGGAACGACGGATGGGAGAGGAGGAGAGCCCCAAGGACAAGGAAAAGCAGCCTAGGGAATATACTGGACGGAACGGGAGAGGAGAGTGGCTGGCGGAAACACTGTACTCTCCAGGGGTGCGGTCGGAGATTCGGGGCAGACGGGCGCTAGAAGCGCCTATGAGCTGGCCCGGCATTTCCTCCCCTGTGGCTTTCGTGCTTCTGGGGGGCGGGAGGGGGGAGATGGGGGAGTCAGGGGAGCGGCAAGCGAAGGATGCGTGGAGACCCCAAGGTCCTGTACTGTGCTGTCGTGTTGAGCTAACAGAGCGGAAAGTGGCGAGAGATGCGAAATCTGTAATGAAGTAACCGGGTCGTCGAGACGCAGGGTGGGCTGATTGCCAATCTGGCAGCCCGAGTGCCGAGACGCAGGCTGGCCTAGTTGTGGGGGTGAATGGCGACTGTGGCAAACTCGTCAGCGAAACCTTAGCGAAGTAGGTCAATAGCAGGTAGCCCGTTTCGACTGTTACCGCGCACTCGCGGTGAAAATTCGTTACAAGAAGACTTCGGTAACAGAAGTGTGCTGGGGTCGGAACAATCAAGGCACACGGAACATCAAGGTCATTTCGCAAGCCACGACTACCCTGACGACAATCCCTTAGCAACGACAGCAAATCTGGTCCCTCGAATTTTGAATCCGACGTCTCTGAATCACCGTTCCAGTTTCTCGCCTAGCTCCTAGATCACCTCAAATCTGCTGCCCACTCGGTTGAGTGACACTTTCTCTGATCAGCTGAAACTTCTCAACTCCCGTACCTCCATGGTTGCGTGAAACTAATCCACAGGTGATTGCTTGGAAACAAGACTGCCAGAACCTGCAGTTCCGCTCCTCAGCAAAGACTGCTAGATTTCTCGGCATCCTCGGCTCGCCGCCATGGCTCAGGTTGCAGATCTCCTACAGTTGCTGAAAGAGTCGTTGAAATCCGCCACTGACGGCTGGCCGGTGCCTCTGCCGGTCGTCGTGGCCATCGCAGCGGGCGGACTCCTCCTGCTTCTCTTCGTGTCGCTCAGCGCGAAGCCCCGACGGAAAGGTGCAGTCCCTGCTGCTTTTGCGATGCGCGTCGAATCCAATTGGAATGGCGGAGAATCGGATCGCGTCTGATTGAGATTCGGCCTTGTCTCTCTTGTCGCTTACCTCCGACGTCCAATCGCTCACCCGTCTGCTCTGCTCCCGTTTTGACATTAAGCTGGTTATTGAGAATCCTAAAAAACCAGCTCACTTCCCGTGGCATTATATCCAGGCGTGTTTTGAGTCGACTCAAAATACGCAAGCTTCTGTGGATCTGTCCCCGCGAGGAATGGCGATCAGGATGACTTTTAAGTTGACTCAAAAGTTCTCCCGTCACCCGCTTCTGTGGATCTGTGTCCCACGACGGATGGCGATTGATGGCATCAGCACGTGAAACCGACTCAGAAGGAGTTTCGCGACGTCGCAAAACTCTATTATTTTCACGTGAAACCGACTCATAAGGTTGTGCGTCCTCTCATTGTTCCCTCAACCGCTCCAGTGGCTCTGCATCCCGAGGAATGGCGGAAGTTCCAGCTGATCGAGCGCACAAACATCACCCACAACGTCGTCAAATTCCACTTCTCCCTGCAGTCGCCCGACACAGTGCTGGGCCTGCCCATCGGGCAGCATGTCAGCCTGCAGTGAGTGTCTCAGCCCTGGTAGATCGAGCGCACAAACATCACCCACAACATCGTCAAATTCCACTTGTCGCTGCAGTCGGCCATCACAGTGCTGGGCCTGCCCATCGGACAGCACGTTAGCCTGCAGTTAAAACGTCAACACTTTGAGTTAGCGTTGCACAGACCTCGATTCTCCCTCCAGTCACCGGACATTGTTCTGGGCCTCCCTATTGGACAACATGTCAGCCTGCAGTAAGAAAGGCTGACGTCAGATCGTCACCCACAGAGACAAGCGGAAGTAAACTCGTTATAGAATGTCTTTAGAGCACCTTAACGTCGATGTTGTGTTGTGTAGCCGTATCGCATTCTAAAGCGGAGGATAGTCGTTATTCTTCACCTCCTCTCCCCTGCTGCTGTTTCTCTTACTCCTTCCCTATCCTTCCCTATCTTTCCCTATCCTTCCCTATCTTCCCCTATCCTTCCCTATCTTTCCCTATCCTTCCCTATCTTTCCCTATCCTTCCCTATCTTTCCTATCCTTCCCTATCTTTCCCTAACTTTCCCTATCTTTCCCTATCGTTCCCCATCTTCCCCCCTCTTTGTGCTCTACCAGGGGGAAGGACGAGAACGGGAAGGAGTTTATGCGGCCATACACCCCGACAACGCTCGACTCCGACGTTGGATCCGTTGACATCGTGATCAAGGTGAGCCCAGCTCTGGCTTTTCACTCCCCCCCAACGAGGCCTTATTGCTTCCTCCGCTGCTCGTCTTTCTGCCTGTGTTGCTGAAATGCCATTCTTGGCGCAGATTGAATCCGCCCCTTTCCGTGAGCAAAACCAGCCATTTTTTCCGCCTCCCTTTCAAACTGATTTATCCTATCCTTTCCTTGAGCACCCAACGAGCTTGAGGTGGGCAACTGCATTCGAATTTTCTCAAGAGCATAAATGGTTGCCCTACCTCCTTCTCTTCCCTTCAGCAGGTCTACCCCTATGGCACGTTGTTGCAGTACCTCAACAAGCTGGAAGCCGTTCTTTGGAGCGAATCTTGAGTGAATCTTGGGCGAATCTTGAGCGAATCTTGAGTGAATCTTGAGTGAATCTTGAGCGAATCTTGAGCGAATCTTGAGCGAATCTGTGCCTTATTGTTCGTTCCCACCCTCCACCAGATCTACCCCAATGGCGCCATGTCACAGTACCTCAACAAGCTGGAGGTCGGCAACTTCGTTGCCATGCGAGGGCCCAAGGTGAGGAGTGGTGGATAAAGGTGAGGAGCGGTGTGGTGTGGTGGAGAAAGGTGAAGAGCGGTGTGGTGTGGTGGAGAAAGGTGAGAAGCGGTGGAGAAGGATGAAAGGGGAAGTGGAAGATCCCGCCCTTCACCACGATTGTGTCCAATACCCGTCTTGATGCCGCCTCAGTCCCGGCCTACTAGCCCTTTTCAAGTCAACTATATTTCTTCCCCATATCCATATTATGCTTCCATTCAGTCCCGTCCCATCCCACTACTGTACCATGCGAGGTGACTTTTGAGTCGACTCAAAAGTACCAAGAGCAGCGCAGTGCAGTGCTGCTGCTAGGGCACATTACAACCAGCTCAATCTCTCCGCTCCCCCCCACCCCCCCCCCCGCCCCCTGCGCCCCCCTTCACGCGCCCCCCCCCTTTTCCCCGCATCTTCACCCCTCCCAAACGCCCGTTGTTCCCTTCAGGGTCGCTTCAAGTACCGGCCCAACATGTGCCGCGCGATTGGCATGGTTGCCGGAGGCACCGGGGTGACTCCCATGTTTCAGGTGGGGTAGAAATGCTCCTAGTGTGCATTTTGGGGGGTGGGGGGGTAACTGGATATTTGAGGAAGCATGCGTGCTTTATAGTGTGTGAGGCGTGATAACCAATGGTGATTGGGGTGTACATCTTGCTGGCACCTCAATCACAACCCCCCCTCCCCATGCATCCCCCCCTCCTCCTCCCTCCTTCCCATTCCTTCGCCCTTACTCACTCCCCCCCCCTCCTCCCCCCCCGATCAGGTGGCTCGTGCTATTCTGGAGAACCCATCTGACCGCACCAAAATATCTCTCATATTCGCCAATGTCACGGCCGAGGATATTCTGCTCAAGGTACGGAACAAGCAAACAAACAAGCGCATTCTGAGTCGACTCAAAACGCTATGTCACAGCCGACGACATTCTGCTCTCAAGGTACGAAGCACTGTGCTATGAATTTGGGTTTTCATTGGCAGGTCCCGATATGTCAGATGGCATTCCAATTGTGCTATACAAACGCACTGCTTGAGTTTGTGCTACTGGGACCTTGTTCAATGAACAAGGTCCCAACCCAACCATTCTATTTACCCCCTCTGCCTTTGACCCTCCACCCCTCCTCCCAACCTCCCGCCTGCAGGACGAGCTAGACGTACTGCTCAAGTCAGCACCTGACCGATTCTCCATCTACTATGTGCTTAATGAGGTACGTGCTTAACGAGGTACGCGCTTAATGAGGTGCGTGCTTACTGGGACATGTGCTTCCTAGGGTATGTGCTTGATATAGTTTGTGCTTGGAGAATCATGTGCTTCACTACCTCTCCATTCCGCTCTCTACCTCTCTATTCTTCTCCTCTGAAATAGACTCCGCGTTTAACTCTCTGCCTCTCCTCTCCCCATCCGTCCTCCCCTTCTTACAGCCACCCAAAGGGTGGACGGGGGGAGTGGGCTTCGTGACCCAAGACATGATCAAAGCGCACCTCCCTGCTCCTGCTGCTGATGTCATGGTATGTGCTGCTGATGTCATGGTATGTGTTCCAACTATTGAGGTACGTCAATAATTAATAGATGTCATGGTATGTGTTCCAAGTATTCTTCTTGTTCGGTGCATATGTATCTGTACACACGTCCTCTCACAAACTTTCAAATAACTCCTTTCTACACCCCTCATTCCCATGCCCTCCTTGCCAAGGCACCTGATTCACCCATCCTCGTACACATAGACATGCAGTCATTCTCCTCCGTGCAATTCCCTCGGCAAAGGGAGACACACCGGATGCTCTCTGCAGTCACACATGCGTACTCACTCCCACCCGACTTCCCTCAACTGCTTAACCTAGCTGACCCCCCTGCTGCCCACTTGCCTGCCTGCCTCCCTCCAATGGCGTGCTGCCAGGTGGTGCGGTGTGGCCCCCCCCCAATGAACAAGGCCATGGCTTCCGCCCTGCAGGAGCTGGGCTACTCCAGCGACTCCCTCTTCCAGTTCTAGTTCCAGGGCGGTGCAGTGCGGTACGCCCTCCCCCTGCAGGAGACTCCCTCTTCCAGTTCTAGTTCCAGGGCGGTGCAGTGCAGTACGCCCTCCCCCTGCAGGAGATGGGCTATCCAAGCGACTCCCTCTTCCAGTTCTAGTTTTAGGGCGGTGCAGTGTGGTACACCCTCCCCCTGCACCTCACCCCCCCTCTTGGTGAACAAGGCCATGGCTGCAGCCCCGCAGGAGCTGGGCTACCCTAGTGACTCCCTCTTCCAGTTGTTACCCAGCCTCGTTACTTCAACCTGAAAGCTGCCGTAGTACCCTACCGTACCGTACCGTACCTCCACCATTCAGTGTTGAAGTTGAAGTTGCCTCTCAGCTGCCTGTGGAGTGTTGCCTTGCCTCTCAATGCCTAGGGTGGTGTGGTGTGGTGTGGTGTGGTGTGTATGCGGTGTGCCCCCCTGCGATGGCTACTGCACTGCAGGAGCTGGGCTACCCCAGTGACCCCCTCTTCCAGTCCTGTGTTGAACCAGCCTCCACCGTACAGCTGTACCATTGCCTAAACAGTTCTGCTGGGACGAGTAACTTGACTGAAGCCCGGAGGCTCTGAGGCACCCATTGGAAACAAACCACCACAGGTGTCTTGCACAAGTCATGTGCAGGAGAGAGAGCCAAGGGATGCACTCTGCATAGCATTCTGCACTGCACATGATGCACACCTCCAAACAGACTCATATTCTAGGATTCACCTCTTCTGGCCTTTTTCTGGAATGTCTAAAATACTGATATGCAGTGACAAAAACAGCACCAGCAACAGCTTTCTGCTTTGGCATATACAACAGCAGCCTTTCCAGCCATGAATGCTCGCTATCGGACAACATATGCCGGCCTCTGGTACTAACAACAGTCTATGCAGCTACCCCTGCTCCTGCTCTTGCTGCTGCTGCTGCTGCTGATGCTGCTGATGCGTCAACCGATGATGGAAAATCTGTTTTAGCGTTTGCCTTCCGGTTCCAACTACCCCTCCCGCTTGAATGACTTCTCAAAGTACACTGGTGGGAGTTAACTAACAACAGCAGCGTGTCTAGTCGAAGAGCGAGAAGCCCATGTCGTCGTCGCTCTCCTCCTTCTCCTCCTCCTTCTCCTCCTTTGCCTCCTCTGCAGGAGCAGCACCGCCACCGCTGGCAGCAGCGCCAGGAGCAGCGGCCATAACCATGCCTCCACCCACCTTCACCTGCACACGCACACAGATTAGGTGGGTACGAGGGTGAGAAAGACAGTGAGTGATGGAGTGAGCGCGCGATTGCAAGGGCAGCAGCAGCACCACCGCTGGCAGCAGTGCCGAGGGCAGCGGCCATGACAAGGCCGCCACCGACCTTCGCCTGTAAGCATACAGTGAGTGAGCAAGAGGGTCAGAAAGGTAGCAGTAAACGAGTTAAGGCGTAAGTGAGTGTGCTTGGGTGGGAACACTCTGGGCACTCATCTAGTCCACGCCAGAGCCATAATGGCGCAGGAGAGGAGGGGGTTCTCGGTGAAGTGTAGTGCAGTTTTGTGCCTTTTTCTTAAATTGACTCAAATACTATTTTCTAAATTGACTCAAATACTACTTTCTAAATTGACTCAACTACTATTTTCCCCGAATTTCGGAAAACACTACACCGTACACGCGAACCCTCACGACCATACGCACTCAGGAAAACCTCCAGCGCAACTACAACCTTATAACGCGTACAACTAGCATTATTCTCACCTCGTAGACGCCAGCATTAGGCGTGGTGTAGGAGAAGAAGGAGGTGACGCCGCCACCAGACGAGTTCTCCACGGCGAGCGACACGAGCTTCCGGCCGAGCGAGTAGAGGTCGGATCCCTCGGCGGTCAGGTCCTTGTTGTCCTCCTCCTTCGCCGCGTACTGCGTGTGACGGGGGGGGGGGGGAGGGGAGGGGGGGGGGGGGGGGTGGGATGTTTCTGGGGGAGATGAGGCGTGGAACGATGCGACACGAGCTTTCTGCCGAGCGAGAAGAGGTCGGATCCCTCGGCGGTCAGGTCCTTGTTGTCCTCCGCCTTCGCTGCGTGCTGCGGGTAACGGAAGGGGGGAGGGGGGCGGGGATGGGGTGTGTAATGAGACGTGTAACGTGCGCGACGAGCTTTCTGCCAGAACAGGCCCAAGCCATCTGCGGCGACGCTCCTGTTGTCCGCCTCGTTCGCAGCGTACTGCAGATGACAGGGGAAGGGATGGGAGCATAGAGGCGGGAAAGAGAGGCGCAGATCGGGATGATTCGGAAAGAAAAAGTATGCCGAGGAAGCAGATTCCTATGCGGCCCGATGTGTCTTTTGAGTCGACTCAAAAGTCACCTCGAGAGGCGCGCGGATCGGGATGATGCTGATTCGCGAACACAAGAGTCTGGCGACGACGCAGGTTCCTACGCGGCCCGTTCGACGCGGGGAAACAGGAACAGCGACGATCGGCCGGAAGAGAAGCTCATGTTGAGATGACTTTTGAGTCGACTCAAAAGAGAAGCTGATGTTCAGGCTGCGAAGCTAGAAGAGGGAATTCGGGTTTCCGGAATTAGGGTTTCCGGCACCACACGGAGCCGCAAGGCGAGAGGACGGAGGTAGCGAGGGAGAGCTACGCTCAAGGAAAGTAACTACAGTGTCAGGAGAGACTCTCTATAACTGAGACTCGCGTAGTCACTATAAGGCGGTGATGTGAGCCTAACGAAGGTTAGAGTTTCTTGTAGCGAGTCGACTTTCGAGTAAACTCAGAAGTGATGTGTGAGGCGCTAGCAGGAGAAATAAACCGTCTTCATGCCTAAGAGATGATAATGTGTCTGTGTGTATTCAACTACCTAACCCCTTTCTCCTGTGACCATTCCTCTGACTGGTTATTCGATACAAGCCGCTTCGCCTACCTGCTTAGCGCTCCAGCTGCTGCCGTCTTGTTTGCAGATGAACAGAAAGACACCCATGGCGACGGTTCACGCAACGACGTAAGAGACTAACGACGTCTCTAATTGCGAGCTACAGGAGCTCTCTTAGTTAGGGGCAGAGATAGCTGGAAGTAGTCAGAGAAAGGAAGAGAAGAGGAGCAATGGTGGCTTTGAGCGGGAAGGTGGGGGGAAGGGGGACGGGAGGGGGGAGGAGAAGCGGAATGGGGGGGAATAGGGGGGATGAGTGTGGCGGGGGATTGCGGAAATTTTCCGCAATGCGTGGTGCAGGACAAGGGGAGGGTGGAGCGGGCGGGGGGGTCTTGGGGGGGAATGAATGAAGCGGGAGACGTGAAGCAGGCGCTGTGCTGGCGGAAGAACCGCGGGAGAGCCAAAGAGAGCGAAAGAACCAAGAGCAGTTGCAGGGGTTTTGCTTTTGGGAGGTTTTGCGAAGACACCTCACCGTAGTTACCCTTCTCGCAACAAACTTCCTCGTGTTTACGTTACGTTTTGCCAGATTCATGGAATACAAACACGAATATCCTCCGCTGTGGAATCCCTTCATCTTGGGATTGTTTTCCTGCCAGCCTAGACCTCGCCAATGTGCAGCTATGATAGAACTGAAGTGTGCCTTGCAACAGCAGCCATGTTAGAAGCCTGAATTCTATACGGCCACGCTGCGCCCCGACGGTTACCTTTCGCTGCCGTTGCCAACAACTGACGGTGTTCGTGTTCTGGCCGGGTTCCCGTTGTTCATGTTTCTCTCGTCCCTGGATGTTATACACGGTTTTGAGTCCCGTCAGATCAAGCGACTCGGCAGCATAGCTTTAGTATCCGTTCGTCTAGCTTATGAATCCCCTGCTTACGAGCATTCTCCTCTTACTGGCCAGGGACCAGTCTAGACCACGACGTGAATGGATTTGTAGCTAGGTAGCCATGTACCGGACTACTCCGCTCGTGTCTACAATAGTAGCGTGGGTGGGTGCCTATTTCTTCCTGGTCCTGCTCACCATTTCTCTCGCATCTGGCCTCTACTACATCGCCGAGATCATCGAGGACAATCCCAGAACTTCTAAGAAGCTGCTTAGCATCTACATCAAAGCCACGCTCGCCGTCCACGTCATCGTCTTGATCTTCGACCGTCCGTCAATTCTCTGCATTCTCACTGGTATCGCTACGCACGTCGTCTACTATCTGATCCTCCGCCGATTTCCGTACGTCAGCCTTGGGTCCCCTGAGTTCATCGGATCATGTGTGGGGTTCATCTGCAGTAACTGGGGCTGGTTCCAGTACTACTATTTCCGCACCAATTTCACGATAGAATTCTTCCTCGGGTTCATGATTCCCATGGTTTGGCTCGTTCCCTTCGTCTACTTCGTCTCCCTTTCCACGGAAGAGACCCTCTTGCCGTATGCTACAAGTCACCATCTGTCATCAGCAGCAGAGGAGGTGTTGGGTCGGACCCCTTCAGGGAGCAGCCGGCCTAGCAGCAGCAGAGGGGTGCCAGGTGCTGGAAAGAAGATGAAGAGCTCTTTCTTGTGGCTCTACCACTTCATACGGCAGAAGCGGGACGATGTGTTGCCGGAGTTTAGTCTGGAAACAGGGAGAGGGGGTGCTAAAGCTTTGTGAATCTGTCTCTGGCAGATGGTTGTAGGATTTTACCAGCTGTGGATTGTCGAAGTCTTCTCTTTCTAGACACTAACAAGTTGACATGACATGACATGCAAGATGCATCGTCTCTGGCTAGAGTCGCTCCACTGCATGTTGCAAGTCATGTACGTCCAGGCTGACCCTTATGAAGAACGGTCTGGATGATTTCTCGTGTTTTCCAATCGAATTATCCACCTTGGCATGAGAGAATGAATTACTGCTCACAATCAACTCCAAGACCATACAAAACGCCTGCATATTTCTCAGCTGAGCCATTGAAAAACCCCTGTCTTAGCTTTCTGAAAGCTGCTGACGTCAACAAACTGTCCGACCCTGCTTGATGCTGAGGACCAATCCGCTCCACCTCTAGGGTTTCCGCCAGGCGGTTGAGGCCGCCATGAAGATTATCACAGAACTTCATCAGGTACTTGATGTCGTAGATAGTAGGAAAGTAAGTGCGTAGGAGGTTGAAGAAATCTGCTTCGTTGCTCGGCAGGTTCTGACACGTCAGCACCTTGAGAAGGTACCCGAAATCGTAGCCGCTGTGGAACGTTATCCAGTTCACGTTCTCGTTAAGGACGACGCCTGACGGAATCATGAGCTCCCCGAAACGGAACGAGTCAATTCCCCTCTCCTGATTCATGTTGAAATCGATGCCGCTCTGCTTCAACAGCTCAATCGAGTCCTGCGCGTAAATGTCCTCTGTAAGATTAAACTCCCGGAAATTAAACTGCCAGACGCAGTACTCGTTCTGGCCAAAATGAGGCAGCATACCATCCTCGTTAGTGAACGTCAACCCTAACTGAATAAGCTTCAGCATGTCCACGTTCACACGCAAGGTCTGGTAATGATACTCCGCGCTGCTGCGAAACGTCCCGACTGGCCTAACCACAACCCCCGGAAACTCCGTATCCATGGCCACGTAAGGATACTCATCCACAATCTCGCGAATCATCTCGAACTCCTCCTCCAGGTTATCCGCCCACACCTCCCGGATCCTCAACGTCCCTCCTTTCGGGACGGACATCGTGGATGCGGAAGCAGAACCACTAGAAATAAACGCCTATGAAACCCGACGAGCGTGATTCGCGGCGGCCATGGTTGGAAAAGCAGTGTGGCGAGGCAAGGCAAGAAGAGGGAAGGGTTCGGTGAGGTACGAGCAGGGAAGGGAAGGGAGGGCAAGCAGGAGGGCGAGCAGGAGAGCGCCTCCTGGGCTGAATGGGAAACTGACGGACGACAAGGGGATGACTGACGGGGGACGAAAGAAAAACGAGGGAAAGGATCAATAGCCAATCAGCGAGGGGCTATGACAACATGATTTGCCGGCGAGCGGGGGAAAAGCAGCTTTCCTGACGTTCGCGAACCACGTAGCGAAGATTCCACGTGCTAACGCTGTCAGACGGACATGGGATGACTCGGCTGGTGTACGCTTTACAACAGAGATCCTCAGGTGGAAGGGACATCCTTCTGGTTTATAGCTGATTGATACTAGCTACATCTGGCAAGAGTCCTAATCAACTGAACTAATACCATAACCTATGCGCAAGGATGTTGATCAGTTTTCCCCGAACTAAGGTGCCATAATCCCCTCTATTGTGTAGTTGAAGGTCTCGGCCAATTCAGAACGGAAGAGTAGCGAGCGAAGATGGTCCATAATACTCAGATCTGGGTCAAGTTTGCGTTGCCAGCTCTGCTCGATCAAAAGAGGATGACACAGGAGGGAGAGAGAGGCACATATCAATTGATGGAGTGAGCATGACCAAGTGATATAAGCTTGTCAGTCACGGGTTGGGACGAAAAATCACTTACGTAAGATGGCCAATGTACGTACCTCGAGCACAAGCGTGGTGATAATCACGGTGCACACATTCCCGTCAATGTTCACCCGATGCCTCCGCACCTGGACGCATACAAACAAGAAGCACAATTCAACAGCAAATTGTAACATGTTACGGCATGAATAAGGTGGGGAGAGACGCATGCATGACCATCTGGCGAGTTATGACAGTTGTGTGACAGGTAGCACAAGCAGCGCACATATGATGGGATGAAGGGATAGACAGGGAAGGACGAATGAGGGAAGAACCGAAGACAAGACCATCCAACAACGACTCAACCCAGCACCTCCGAATAGACAAGGCCAACATTCACAGTTAAGTCACATGCTCTAGCAGGTCCTGCATGCACCCACTCGTCCAACAATGGCCCAATTTCGCACCACCTAGTAAACAAGGGCAGCATTCCAAGTCAACTCACATCCTCTAGCAGTACCTCCCAGGTTAACTCACATGCGCCAGCAGGTCCTGCATGCAGTCACCACCATCTGACACCTACTCAACCTCAATTCCAGCAGACTCACATGCTCTAGCAGGTCCTGCATGCAGTCACCCGTTGGGATGCGCAGGCCAGTGGCGTCCCACTCCTTGAACGAGTTGTCCACGTCCTGGTGAGGGGCACAGAGAGTAGAGAAGAGAGCATCGGCATAACAGGAAGGGGGTTTGAAGACGACAGATGACACTTAAGCCGGTAGAGTCCCACTCCTTGAACGAGATGTCCACATCCTGGCGTGCGGAGAGAAGGGAAGAGAGGAGTGCATGGCATCAGTGAACCGGGCACTTGGTAATGAAAATGAGGCACATGTGACTCAGGCCAGTAGTGTTCCACTCCGTAAACAAATCGCCGGCTTCCTGGGGTAATGGAAGCAAACGGTTGTGACTCAAGCCAGTAGAATCCCATTCCACCCGCTGGACGAGTTATCTACATCCTGGAAGGGGCAGGCAGGAGGAATGGACGGTGCCGGGAGAAGAGTTGATGACACGGGGAGAAAGGTGGGTGGCGTGGATGGCATTGATAACCCCCCCATCCCCCCCGAAATCCCAACTGAATGAAGGCAACAGGGTCGGCATAGCGCAGGGACGCACCCAGCATTTGCCCTAAACTCTGAACCCCAGGGAGGCGGGGCGTCAACCCCCCAAAGACCCACCTCAATGAAGGCATCGGGATCGGCGCAGCTCTGCTTATCCGCAAACTTGAGCGTGCACGCCACAGCCTGCCGCCCATTCCGCACAGCAATGGCCGTGACCCCCTAACCCCAGCCCCCCAAAGACCCACCTGAATGAAAGCATCGGGGTCGGCACAGCTCTGCTTATCCGCGAATTTCAGCGTGCAAGCGGCGGCCTGCCTGCCATTCCGAACAGCGATCGCCTTAAAAAACTCGAGCATGTTCGCCCGGTACCGCGGCTCGAGCTCTGCCGTCATGCCCACATCCAGCAGCACGATGTGCGGGTGCGAGCTCAGCGAGAGCCCCACGCCTTCGTCTGGCGCTGACAGCAAATGGCCCCTCTGCATGCGCACTAGAATGTTTCCCGGGTGCAGGTCCGCATGTATGAAATTGTCCACCAGGAGCATTTTCAGGAGTGTGTGCGACCCCAGCTCCGCGAGTTCCATGTTGATTCGGTTGCCTGCTCGCTTCTCCCACCACTGCTTGAAGGGTCTCCCTCGCACCAGCCACAGCCGCCGCTTCCTCTTGGATCCCCCCCCGTCCTTGTTCCCTTCCCCCTGCGCCCCATCCACGCCCTCCCCGCCCTTCATCCCCCCTTCCTTAGCGCTGGCTACGGCTATCCGCTTGTCATCTACCCCACTCTCCGAATTACTCCCCCCAACTCTCGCTGCTGCCACTCCCCCAGCTGCTGCTGCAGCAGCAGCGTCAGCTGCGGCTTTCTCAGCTTCGGCAGCGAGCCAAGCACCTTTCCCTTCGGGCCCAACCACACCGCCAGGTTCGGTCCGATCCACGTACCGAGCCACGCTCTGGCCGGACTCGAACGTTTCTACGAGCACCTCGGGATGCACGAGGGGGTAGAGAGGCTTGGGGAAGCTGATGCTCCGCCAGCGGCGGAAGTTGTAGTTGAACCGGCTCAGCTGGGCCGCCTCTCGGGCGAGATCAACCTGGTCGGACGGGAGAGAGGGGAGCGCAGGAAGGGGGGAGAGGAGATTGAAGCACCTCTGGGTGCTCGAGCGGGTAGCGCGGCTTGGGGAAGCTGATGCTCCGCCAGCGGCGGAAGTTGTAGTTGAACCGGCTCAGCTGGGCCGCCTCTCGGGCGAGATCAACCTGGTCGGACGGGAGAGAGGGGAGCGCAGGAAGGGGGGAGAGGAGATTGAAGCACCTCTGGGTGCTCGAGCGGGTAGCGCGGCTTGGGGAAGCTGATGCTCCGCCAGCGGCGGAAGTTGTAGTTGAAACGGCTCAATTGAGCCGCCTCTCAGGCTAAGTCGACCTGGGGGGACGGGAGAAGAAGAGAGAGGAATTCGAAGGGACTCTGGGTGCTGCTGACGCTGCTAGAAAGGCGTGGGGAAGCTGGTGCTCCGCCAGCGGCGGAAGTTGTAGTTGAACCGACTCAGCTGAGCTGCCTCTCGGGCTGAGTCGACCGAAGGAAGGGCAAGAGGGGGAGAGAGCGCGTGACGGAGCGTGAACAACGGGAAGAGAGGGGGGGAGGGGTGAGGAGATGAAGCGCCTCTGGGTGCACCAGCGCGGGTAGAGCGGATTTGGGAAGCTGATGCTCCGCCAGCGGCGGAAGTTGTAGTTGAACCGGCTCAGCTGGGCCGCCTCCCGGGCGAGATCCACCTGGTCGGAGGGGGGAGAAGGAGGGCAGAAAAGAAGAAAGAAAAGAGGAGACGTTTTGAGAAGTCTCAGAGGCGACTCTTCACGGTCGCGAGGTCGCAAGGGGATTCATCGCAAGGTCGCAATAAATCCCCTCCCACACCAAACCTGAAACCCTCAACCCCAAACCTCGACCCTCCTCACGTGCACCATCATGAAGACCGCGAACTGCTGCACGCAGTGGCTATCCTCAAGGCGTAGCCACTGCAGCCCGGGCGCGAATTTCGTGGCTCGAAGTTCTGATCACAAAGTCAGGGGTTGGGGTTTAGGGTGAATCACCTCCCTCTCTCACTCCCCCCTCCCGTTTATTTCTTTACCTGCGCCATCATGTTGACTGCGAACTGCCGCACACACTATCCTCAAGGCGTAACCACAGCAGCCCGGGCACCAGGCTCATGACCAGCACCCGCACCACCCAGCTCATAATCACAGAGACGCGGTGAATCACCTCCCGCACACCCAAAAGCTGCAGCTTCCCCCCCTAAACCCTCCGGCTTAAGCCCTGGGCCCGAAAAACCCTCCTCTCCTCTCACCTGCGCCATCATGAAGACCGCGAACTGCTGCACGCTATCCCCCAGCCTCAGCCACTGAAGCCCAGCATCAAGCTAGTAGCCCGCACCACCCAGTTCATGATCACAAAGTCAGGGGTTGGGGTTTCGGGTGAATCACCTCCCTCACTCACTCTCCCCTCCCGTTTAGTTCCCCACCTGCGCCATCATGCAGACTGCCAACTGCTGCACGTTATCCTCCAGGCGTAGCCACTGCAGCCCGGGCACCAAGCTCGTAGCACGCGCCACCCAGTTCATGATCACAAAGTCGCGGTGAACCACCTCCCTTCTCCCCCCCCCCCCCACGTTCCCATTTCCCTCACCTGCGCCATCATGAAGACTGCAAATTGCTGCACGCTGTCCTCCAGCCTCAGCCACTGCAGCCCGGGCACTAAGCTCGTAGCCCGCGCCACCCAGTTCATGATCACAAAGTCGCGGTGAATCACCTCCCGCACTCCGGGATGTCTCACTTTCACCGCCACCATTCTTGGCGGTTCCACCATCTTGGGCTCGGCGCGCGGGTAGCGGTTGGTGAGGACAGCGCGATGCACCTGGAGGCGTAGGAGGCAGGGAGGGGAGGGGAGGGAGGGGAACGCGGGATTCGAGGAGAATCACCTCCCGCACGCCCGGGTGTCGGACCTTCGCCGCCACAATCCCCAAGGTGCTTTTGAAATTCTCGGGCACCTGACCTTCGCCGCCACCATCCGCGGGGCCTCCACCATTTTTGGTTCTGCCCGAGGGTACAGGTTGGTCAAGACTGCATGATGCACCTGAGCATTTGGAAGAACTCTGGATGCTGCCACAAGCACCAGCTATAAACGAACAGAAGGAAACGGATGTGTCTTGAGACGACCCAGCACAACGGACTCACAGACGCGTCACTTACGCGCCTGTGCAATGCTGCCCGAGGCAACGAGTTCCACTTCGACCTCGTCGAACATCTCCTCCAGTCTCCTCCAGGCCCCTTCCAACTCCTCAAACCAAGCGAAATCTGAGACCACACCAGCGAAGCCTAACGCACCTGCGCGATGCTGCCCGAGGCAACGGGCTCCTCGTCGAACTCGTCGAACATCTCCTCCAGTCTCCGCCCAAACGCGCGCTCGACGATCTTCTGCGTCGTCTTGAACGGGTGGGCAGGCGCCTTCGTGTGCAGCTTAGACAGCTGCGCGCACATGTCCTTAGGAAATAAGTCGGGCCGCGTCGCCGCCCACTGGCCCCACTTTATGAACGCCGCTCCCGCGCATTCTAAGGTTTTGTGCACCAGCTCGAGCCACTGCTGCCGAAACCGCCCTCCCCACATGTCCGCAAACGGGCCGGTCGCGATCGCGGGCAGGAAAAGAAAAACGAGGTACACGGTTCGGAGGGCCAGAAAAACCGCTTCTTGCGTTTCAAGGAGGAAGTCTATAACGGGGTTGGTGTGGTGCTGCGCCTGCACTTGAGATTTCAGCTGCGCCGCTCCGAACATCTGCTCCGCGTGTGCTAACGATCCCGATCCGTCTCTACCCGATCCCGTGCTGCTACGGAGCGCGGCTTCGCCGAGAATAATCGCCACTAGTCGCGGCGCGATCTGCGACTTGGACGCGGCGAGGCTCGCGGCGCCGAAGGTTCGCGCGAGAGGCGGGAAGAAGAACGCGGGAGGGCGGCACCGATCCGCCGCGCCTTGCAGCAGGTGGCTCCATTTCTCCCTCGCTTCTCGAACCGCTTCGCGAGCCGCTCCCCGAGCCGCTTCTCGAGCCGCGAGGTTGCCGGATCGCAAGAGCCTGACGGCTGCTGACTGTTCGAACAGACGGCTGGAATCCCGTGAGATTTGCCGGGAAAACGTCAACTTTGCCGCCTTAGCGGCGCCGGTGATGGTACTGCTGGTGATCGGCCCGTTGGGTTGAGAAACGTACCGTGAAATGGATCGGAGAAAGCGGACCTGGCCAGAGGATGTAACGGACGGCTGCGATGCTCCTTGAACATGGTATATGCACCGGGAAGGCAGGGGATGAGATCCGGGAGGGTGAATCAACGGCTGCTGTGCTCTGATAAGGTGTTTGCCGGCTGCTTGTGAGGAGATCGAATGGCTGGCTGCGTCTTTAGGAGTGATTAGCCTTGATAGATGTGAGAAGTAGGTCCGCACGGGAGGGATTAAAGACTCTTCGGCCTGACGGCTTCGTGAGAGGACGATAGATCTCATTTTGTTAGGTAGTTGAACTAAGAAGCTCGGGTAAGTTTGCCCGTCGGATCTTGCAACATTCTCTAGCCAGAAATGACAAACCTCCTACAGTGATCTTGATTGGACCGTTGATCCCCTAGAATGATAGCGAGAGAATTAGTCCTAAGCGGTCTAGCACGAGTATACGCCCCTCACGGTCTGCCAGCACGAAGGATGGCTCCTAATGCAAGGTATACGGACCAGTCACCAAGAAAGGAAGAAAGCAGTTTCAAGAAAGGTGATCCTGTACAGTGGTAGGAAGCGGGTCTTGGATAATTTTCCCCAGGTGCTGACAACCCTAAGAGCACCACTTTCCTCGGAAGAGATCACCCCACGTAAGTGTCCTTTGTAAATGGGCTGGTCTACTCGCTATAGGGTAAGGGCGTAGCGTACGCTTTCTCAAAACCCTTCCCTTCCCTTCCCTTCCAGCTATTTGATCATGCGTACGTGCTGAGACGGGCTGTTGATCTGGGGAAAATTGTCAAAATAATCAGTGGGAATTGTACAGTAAACCAGCCTCCCACATACCTGGAGCCAATTCCCAGTGCAGGCGATGGATTGGCCGAGGTGTGCCAGGAATTTGCCGTGACGAGGGGATCACCATCAGAAGTTCCCAAGATGATGGCAGCAACCTTTCTGTTGGGACCACTCCTTTTGCTGTTGTCGGTCGAGATTGTGTACTAGGAGCAACGATCCGACGGCTGAGAAATTCGGAACACCCGCCACGTGGTAAAGTGGAAGCTTGCTTGAATAGGAGGTGACATAGTCGAAAAAACGGCCCAACACATCATCACAATTGGTTATTTTGTAATGGAGCTAGGATCATTTTACCTCCACCAATACCTTCATAACTTATATGCTACCCTCACAATTTTTAGCACCTATATACAACAGAGCCGTATTCGCTGTATCAAATCTCAGCCAGCATCTCCGGTTGGCAAGGAAATGATGCGCTGCTGTAACAGGTTTCGCGAAGCAGCAAAATCAACATATCCAAGTGTAACCAGCTGTAACAGACTGTTAAGAAATAATCAAAGTAATAACATGTAGTGTAATAAATGAGTCGTGATTCCAGAGTGTCAAATACAAATGAGGGCCTAGGCATTTATAGGCACGAACAGAGCTAGCCGAGAACCACGCGAACAGGTTGGGGTGGTCCGATTGGCGAAAGCCATGGAAGCGATGCGCATCGAGGTTTGGGTTCGCAAAATGGTTCGGGACCGACGAAGTTGGCCGAGCTTGGACTTCCGACAGTCGAGGGCGTACGCGATGTAGTCGAGCCCAGTAAGGAAAAGGGAATTTCTTGTCAACTTATACATATTATCTATGTAGAAGTTATAGGCTAGAATGAGGTATGCTTCTAGTGAGTACAACCAACTAGTATTTGTTCTAGGTTTCCACTTCTAGTAATCATTCGTTCTCACTTTGACATGGTATCACGCGTAGGTTAGCATCCCCCACCTACCGCTTCCGCCCGTACCCTAGCTAGGCCACATCGCGCCTCCTAGCCCCGTCGCGCCTCCTAGCCACGTCGCCCCCCTCCTGGGCCACGTCGCGCCACCCTAGCCCCGTCGCGCCACCCTAGCCCTGTCGCGCCCCTCCTGGGCCCCGTCGCGCCTCCTAGCCCCGTCGCGCCCCTCCTGGGCCCCGTCGCGCCACCCTAGCCCCGTCGCGCCATCCTAGCCCCGTCGCGCCCTGCCTAGCCTCGTCGCGCCCGCTCGGCCTCGTCGCGCCCTGCCTGGCCCCGTCGCGCCCGCCTGGATCCGTCGCGCCCTGCCTGGCCCCGTCGCGCCCTGCCTGGCTCCGTCGCGCCCTGCCTGGCCCCGTCGCGCCCGCTCGGCCCCGTCGCGCCCTGCCTGGCTCCGTCGCGCCCGCCTGGCCCCGTCGCGCCCTGCCTAGCCCCGTCGCGCCCTGCCTGGCCCCGTCGCGCCTGCCTGGCCCCGCCGCGCCTCCCTGGCCCTGACGCGCCTGCCTGGCCCCGTCGCGCCCTGACTGGCTCCGTCGCGCCCGCCTGGCCCCGTCGCGCCCTACCTGGCCCCGTCGCGCCCTGCCTGGCTCCGTCGCGCCCGCCTGGCCCCGTCGCGCCCTGCCTGGCCCCGCCGCACCTGCCTGGCCCCGCCGCGCCTGCATGGCCCCGCAGCGCCTCCCTGGCCCTGCTGCGCCTGCCTGGCCCCCGCCGCGCCTCCCTGGCCCCGCCGCGTCTGCCTGGCCCCGCCGCGCCTCCCTGGCCCCGCCGCGCCTGCCTGGCCCCGCCGCGCCTGCCTGGCCTTGCCGCGCCTGCCTGGCCCCGCAGCGCCTGCCTGGCCCCTCCCGCGCCTGCCTGGCCCTGCCGCGCCTGCCTGGCCCCTTTGCCCCGGCTCGTCCTGCCGTGCCGCCTCGGGCTCCGTCTCCTCTGCTCGCCCGTGCTGAGGCGCTTCGCGGCCGCCGTGCTGGACGGGGCTGTCGCTGTGTTCCTGCGTCGCTGTGTTCCTGTGGAGCTGTGCCGCTGACCCTGCACGATGGCGGACTTCGTGCTCCGACTGGACGCCGAGGGCCATGCGGTTGACTTCGCCGCCTGGCTCTCCGATCTCCGCCGCCACCTTACAGGTCAGCGCCAGGATGGCCACTCTTTGGTTGTCCATGTCGACGGCTTGCTCCCCCGCCCCCCCGCACCTGCTCCCCTCCCTGCTGATCCCTCCTCTGATGACCGTGAGACCTTCTCTACTGCTGCGCTTGCCCGTGCGGTCTGGGACTCCCGCGATGCAGTCGCTCAGGTTGCCATTAGCCACGCCCTCCCTGTCTCAGAGCGCTCGCGTTTTGCTACTATTGAGACGGCCAAAGCTTACTTAGACGCTGTTATTGCCTGCTATTCCACACCCGCGTCTGCTTCTGCTGGTCGCCTGCTCTTCCCTATGCTTTTCCCAGACCTTGCAGCTTTCCCTACCGTCGCAGACTTTGCCACTCACCTGCGTGCCCTTGAGACCCGCTATCGCACTGCCAGCACTGCCGCCCAGCTCACTGCGCTCCCCCCCCCTTTCTGCATGACGCTCTATTTTATCGCCATGCGCCTGCCAGACCGCCTCGCTAGTGCTCGCAATCACTTTCTTAGCCAGCACCCGGGTGACCTCACTCTCACTGCCTTTGTCGACACACTCACCGAGATCGAAACTCGCCAGCGCACTATCGCTCAGTGGAGCGGTGCGCCGGCAGTTTCTATCTTTCATGGTTGTGCCCCCTCCCAGTGTGCGTTCACTGACGTTTCGGCTGCGGTCGCCTCGGCGGCCCCTCTCACCGAGACGGCTGGTGCGGTCCACCCGCAGCAGCGCTCGCGCCGCGGTGGCCGTGGTCGCCAGGGGGGTAGGGGTGGTGGTGGCGGTAGTCCGCCTGGGGGGACTACCACTGGTGGGCAGGAGCAGCAGCCCCAGCCGCAGCAGGAGCAGCCCCAGCCGCAGCCGCCACCCCAGCAGCAGTCACCGTCCCAGCAGCAGTCGCCGCAGCAGTGGGCCCGTCTCCCGCCTGGTTGGCCCGGCACCTCTGGAGGTAGTGGCCGTGGTGGCGGCCCGCGCAGCTTGGCGTCTACCGGCGGCTCCGGTGCTGTCACCTGCCAGTACCAGCTTTAGACCGGGCCTCTTCGCGGCACTCTGTGCCGCCGCCCGCACCCGACCGCCCGCTGTTTCCGCCGCCTCGACGATCTCTTTCGTCGTCGCTTTGGCCCGGCCCCGGACCTCCCTGACTGGCACAGCCTGCTCCGCCAGGGCGTGCCGATCTTTGAGTTAGACATGGATCAGCTAGGTGCTGCTTTGCATGCTTTGTATTTTGACGCTTCTAGTTTTGCTGGATCTTATTATCCTGTGTACTCTAGTTTAGGTGTTGCACCACTGTGTAGCTTAGCCTCCCCTGCTGCGTCAGGCGTAGGACTGCCTAGGTTGCCTAGTCTAGTCGCTGCACCGGCTCCGTCCCCGGCCTCCGCCACTGCGTCGCTGTCCTTCACTCTCGACTCCGGTGCTTCTGCCTGCTTCTTCCGCGACCGTTCCACGCTCACGTCGCTTGCTGCACCTGCTGTTGTCTCTCTCGCTGACCCCTCTGCGGGTCCTGTCGTCGCGCGCAGTTCTACGTCCCTTCCCTGTCCGGCAGTTCCCTCGGGCTCCCTTACTGGCCTCCACGTTCCCTCGTTCTCCAGGAACCTGGTTGGTGTCGGCTGTCTCCAGGACCTCGGCGTCACCACCACGTTCCCCGGGCACGAGCGGTTCGCTGTCTGTTCTGAGGCTGTCTCAGGTTCCCCCCTTGCGACGTTCCCCCGAGACCCGGTGTCCGGTCTGTTTACCCTAGACACCGCTTCCCCCCCGGTTGGTGCGTCCTCCCAGGTCGCTGCAGCTTGCGCGTGTCGGTACCTCACTCACCCCTCCCTTCTCTTGCACCACCGCTTAGGTCACCCTGCTCTCCCACGTCTACGTCACATGTCCCAGCACGGTCTTGTCTTAGGTCTCCCCGCGTCGCTCCCTGCCCTTCCTCCCTCGACTGCGCCACCGTGCACGCCTTGCGTCGAGGGTCGGCTCCGCCGTGCTCCTCACTCCTCCTCGCTGCGTCCTGCTACCGCCCCCCTTCACACCCTGCACCTGGACGTTTGGGGCCCTGCCCCCGTCCCCGGACCGCGCGGTGAGCGCTACTTCCTTGTGCTCGTCGACGACTACACGCGCTACACCACGGTGTTTTCCCTGGAGCGGAAGGCCGACGTGCCCGACGTTCTTCTCCCGTGGGTTGTGGCTGCGCGTCTCCACCGCGGTCTCCCCGTGTTGTGTCTCCATTCCGACCGTGGCGGCGAGTTCGCCTCTGGTCGGCTTGGATAGTTCTGTCGTGCGGAGGGCATCACCCAGTCGTACACGTTGCCGGACTCGCCACAGCAAAATGGGGTTGCTGAGCGCCGCATCGGCTTGGTCATGGAGGTCGCCCGTACCTCCATGATCCATGCCGATGCCCCCCATTTTCTGTGGCCGTTCGCTGTTCGCTACGCTGCTCACCAGCTTAACCTGTGGCCACGCTCCCAGCGGCCGCAGGTTTCGCCGACCCTCCTTTGGACCGGGTCCCCCGGTATGCGTTCCACGTCTGGGGCTGCCTTGCTCACGTTCGTGCCTCTGGCACGGACAAGCTCACTGCCCGCACCGTCCCCTGTGTCTTCCTCGGTTTCCCCCTGGACTCGTCTGACTGGCTTTTCTACCACCCGCCGTCTCACCGCTTCCTCCACTCTCGTGACGTCACCTTTGACGAGTCCGTCTCCTTCTACCGCCGCTTCCCTCACCGATGTCTCCCAGTTGCCCCCCCCCTGTTCCTTGCTCCCTCTCCCCAGGTAGCCCCTGCCCCTCTCCCGCCTCGTCCTGCCCCGTTTTGTGTCTCTCACGTCACTCCCCTCCCGTCGGTTGTCCCCGTTGAGGAGTCTGCTGACTCTGGTGGTACCCCCGGTCCGTCCTTGCCGCGTCCCCCTTCCCCGGTGCCTCCGCCCCCACTGTCGCAGTCGCCAACCCCGCCGCCGCCGCCGCCGTCGCTGCCGCAGCCGTCGTCGCTGTCGCCGCCGCCGCAGCCGTCGCCGCCACTGCCGCCGCCGCTCTTGGCCCCTGGGGGTGCTGGTGTGGAGGAGGGTGTTCGTCCTGCGGCTTCTGGGGGTGCCGCTGGTGTTGGAGGGGGTTCTCGCTCTGGGGGTGTTGGTTCTGGGGGTGCTGCTGTTGAGTGTTCTGCCGACGGTCGTTCCGCCTCTGCTGGTCCGAGAGTTCCGGCCCAGCCGTCGTCGCCGCCACAGCAGCCGTCGCCGCCGGTCTCCGCTCTCCGCCTGCTCGGCCTTCCCTCCCCGGACCGCGCGCCAGTGTCTCCCCCACCGCCTGCTGAGCTTCCTGTCTACGGTCCTGTGTTCCCGCCGCCGGACTCGTCTCCGGCCCGTCTTCCTTCTCGTTCCCCTCCTGTGTCTCCTCCGCTGTCCCCTGACCCTACACCTCCATCTCACGTTTGGGCTTGCCGTCCCTCCCGTGCTCGTCCCGTCTCTCCTGTCCTGCCCACCCACCCTATGTTGCTCCGTTCCCGCTCGTCTCCTCCTCCCCTCCTCCCGTCCCCTCCTCCCTCGTCCCTTGCTGTTGCACCTCCTCCGTTCTCTGACTACCTCCGTGCTGCTCGTCCCCTTGTCCCTCGGGTCCTTGCCTCTCTTGTTACCGACCCAGCTGTTCCTGTCTCGCGCCTTGATGCGCTTGTCGCTGCTGTCGCTGACTTCGCCTCTACCCGCCGCCTTGACTACGCTACCACTCTGGTCTCTGACCCTGCCCGTCCTCCGTTCGTCGGGGGTGCTTCTGCCCTTGGCAGTGACGTCCCAGAGGACAGGCAGTATGAGCTGGCTTTCCTTTCCGAGGCTGCTCCCCATCTCTGCTCCATGCTGTTAGTCCCTGAGGGTGACCCAGACGCCTTCGACATCCAGACCCCTCGCACCTACGCTGAGGCCACCTCGGGACCTTGGGCCTCTCAGTGGATAGCTGCCATGGAGCAGGAGATGGCATCTTGGAGGTCCACCGGCACTTACGTCGACGCAGTTCCCCCGCCTGGGGTGAACGTAGTCGATGGTCGGTGGCTCTTCAAGGTGAAGCGCCCCCCTGGAGAGCCGCCTGTCTTCAAGGCGCGCTACGTGGCCAGAGGTTTCAGTCAGCGCGAGGGGGTTGATTTCTTCCATACCTTCGCCCCGACTCTTCGGGCGCTACTACACGTAGCAGCACAGCGTGACTACGAGCTTCACTCCCTCGACTTCTCTACTGCCTTTCTTCAGGGCAGCCTACACGAGCAGGTCTACCTGCGTCGACCACAGGGCTTCACTGTTACCTTCCCTCCTGGGACCCAGTGGCTTCTCAGGCGCCCGGTCTACGGCCTGCGTCAGGCTCCCCGCGAGTGGCACGACACGCTACGTGCCACGTTAGCAGACCTGCAGTTCTTTCCGTCCTCTGCTGACCCTTCACTGTTTGTGCGTTCCGGCCAGACTCCGTTCTACATCCTTGTCTACGTAGACGACCTGGTCTTCGCTACTGCTGACAGGGACGCACTGGCCTCTGTGAAGGCTGAGCTGCTGAAGAGACACACCTGCACTGACCTTGGAGAGCTGCGTCGCTATCTTGGCCTGCAGATCTCTAGGGACAGAGCAGCACGGACCATCACTCTGACCCAGTCACACTTGGTGCGTCAGGTCCTTCAGAGGTTCGGTCTTCAGTTCTCCTCCGCACAGCCCACACCTCTACCCGTAGACCATGGGCTCTCTGCTCCCGTTCCTGATGAGCCAGTAGAGCCCAGTGGCCCCTACGCAGAGCTGGTGGGTTGCCTCATGTACCTGATGACTTGCACTCGCCCAGATCTCGCATACCCTCTCAGCATCCTGGCTCGCTTTGTGGCTACAGGCAGACACCGACCTCAGCACTGGTCTGCCGCTAAGAGGGTTTTGCGTTATCTTGCTAGTACATCAGGCATGGGGTTAGTGCTAGGAGGACGCAGGCAAGTGGTCCTTACTGGGCACACAGACGCTTCTTGGGCAGACGACTCTGAGACGCTCAGGTTGTCGCAGGGCTACTGTTTCAGCCTTGGTTCGGGTGCTATCTCTTGGAGATCCACTCGCTCGTCGTCTGTGGCTCAGTCTAGCTGTGAGGTTGAGATCTACGCTGGTGCCATGGCGGCACAGGAGCTCCGCTGGCTGACCTTCTTGCTCACAGACTTAGGTGAGCGGCCTAGCTCTGCCCCGGTCCTGTACGCTGACAACAGGGCCATGATACTCCTGTGTCAGGAGCCTCGGCTTGAGGGCAGAGCGAAGCATATCCAGCTGCGGTACTTCCTCCTGCGCGAGCTACAGCAGCGCCGCCAGGCCCGCGTAGTTCACTTGGCCTCAGGTGCCAACACAGCTGATATCTTTACTAAGGCGCTTGCGCCTAAAGATCATCAGCGGCACTGTGTACAGCTTGGTCTTGTTCCTGTAGCTGCTACCCTGTTAGGATCCTGATTGTGTACTCTCTATTATATATGCTTGTCAGACTGGCCTTGTGGCCTTACCTCCGGTGGCTGGACTAGTAGTGCCACTCTGGCTTGCTTCAGTTTTGGTTGTATTCTTGCTGATTGGTCTCCAGACCCCTGCCTCAGTGGTTGGACTAGTAGTGCCGCCCTGAGCTGTTTGCTTTTTGTTTAGTTTCACCCCTTGTCTAGCCTAGGGGGTGTGTCAACTTATACATATTATCTATGTAGAAGTTATAGGCTAGACTGAGGTATGCTTCTAGTGAGTACAACCAACTAGTATTTGTTCTAGGTTTCCACTTCTAGTAATCATTCGTTCTCACTTTGACATTTCCTTACACCACCACCCATTCCGGGATGAGACTACGCACATCTGGAACACATCGTCGGTGTTAGTAGTCCCAGACGACTTTGTGTTCGCCGAGCATAGCTGCGGGGGCCCAAAGATCGTCTTCAGACGTGCGATCGACCCATGGTACAAGGAAATCAACGGCTGCTGTCTCTCGGTGGCCTCGTACGCTATGAGCGAGAATCTTGGAGGGCTCGATTGTTGGCTCCGGTACTCGGTTGACCGTATGATTGATGTGTTGACGGTCGAATTAGTCGTACTCGGGACGAACGGTCGCAGGAGACTGATGTGGAACAAATGATGGATTCGCCAGTCGGTCGGCAGTTGCAGCTGGGCAGTGATTGGTGTCACCATCTGGATGATACAGAATGGGCCGCAAAATCTTGGTCGTAATTTATTTGGGAGGGGAATTCCCAAATTTCTGGTGTCGAGCATGACCAATTGCCTAGGGGCAAATGCTAAGCCTCGGCGTTGTCGGTCAGCTTGTTGCTTAGCCCTCTGGTTGGCTTTGAGGATGGCATCGGTAGCTTTTTGCTGGGACTGTCGGAGATTTTTGACAAACTGCTGCGATCTTGGTGCCGGATTTTCTATCGGGGGCGATAGAAGGGTTGTCGGATCTATCCCGTGATTAAGGAAGAACGGGGACTGAGTAGTCGTGGCCGATGGGGCATTGTTGTACGCAAACTCGATCAAGGAAATGGCGTCTTCCCATTGGGCGGGGTCTGTGCACGTCGTACGAATCAGCTGCTCCATTGTCTGATTGGTGCGCTCAGTCTGGCCGTCCGATTGCGGGTGGTACGCCGTGGACAGATGCAGACGTGTGCCGTAATGCTGCCAGGTTTTTGTCCAGAAGTTGGACGTGAACCGTGAGTAACGATCGCTGATGATTGCCGAGGAAACGCCGCGTAGTCGCACGATGTTCGTGAGGAACAGTTTCGCTGTCTGCTCGGCAGTAATCGTCGTTTTGCAGGCGGCGAAATGGGCCATTTTGGTCAATCGAACAATGACGACGAGAATCGCGTCGTTACCGCTTGGACCAGCTGGCAGGCCAGTGACGAAATCCATCGTCACTTGTTGCCAGGTTCGGCTGGGTGGCTCGAGTGGCTGCAGCAATCCAGTAGGTCGAAGCCGGGAAGACTTCATGCGTTGACACGTGTCGCAAGAGGTGACGTACAGCTGCACGTTTGTCGGCAAATCGGGCCAGTAATAATTACGGCTTAGTAAATTGACGGTTTTGTCGATGCCGTACTGACCCGAGAAATTCGAGTCATGTGCCTCCTAGATTAGTAATTCCCGTAGAATACGGTAGGCGGGAACCCAAATCCGATTGGTACCGGATTTTATGTAATACGCCCCTTGCTTGTCCGTCCGTTGGGGATGACTGTTAGTGGTGAAGAACGGGTCGGTACTGTATCCGTGGGTGAATTGGCCAGTTAGCAGCGGATAAGCTTGGGTAATTAGGACTACGGCGGTGTGGACCGAGGGGCGGGTTAGTACGTCGGCGATGTTGCTGACCCCTCGCTTGTAAGTGACTTTGTAGTGGAAATTGGACTCGAGATAGTCGAGGCAACGAATCTGTCGGGGATTCAGTATCGGTTGGGCGCGGATGAACTGTAATGACTTGTGGTCTGTTCGGACTGTTATGTCAGCGCCCTTCAGGTAGCAGCGCCAGACTTTGAAATTGTGAACGATGGCAAGTAACTCCTTATCGTGGACAGGATGATTTCGCTCGGCCGGGTTCAGCTTTCGTGACTCGTACGCGATGGGTTGGAGGCCTTCGCCGAAGTCTTGTAACAATATTGCGCCAACGGCTAGATCGCTTGCGTCGGTGATGATCGAATGGATGGTGAGGGTCTGCAATCCGAAGAACCGGAAGTGTAGTCAGGAAAAGTTTGAGATGTTCGAACGCTGCCTGCTGCTCTCCCCCCTATTCATAAAACGTGACCTTCTTCAGGAGATCTGTAAGAGGGGAAGTTGCCCCCGCCATGTTCGGAATGAAACGGCAGACGTAATTCACGAACCCCGTAAAACTCTGTAGTTTACGGAGATTAGTCGGCGACTTCCAGCCTTGTATCGTCGCAATTTTCTTGGGGTCGATTGTTACTCCGTCGATAGAAATGACGTGACAAAAAAACTCCAGTTTGTGTTTTATAAACTCGCACTTAGAGCCCTTGGTGATGGGTCAGTGGTGCTGCAAGAGAGAGAAAACAGTATCGTCACTATAGCTGCCCTGGCTTGCAACTCGTCAAACTCCTCCTGAGTCACGTTCCTAACTCTACGACGGGCAGAGGTTTCCGGCGTGGTAGACATGCTGGAAATTTTATCTGACAAATTTAAGGATGCACACGCTTTTAGTTGGAGGAGCTTTAACGAGCTCACCTACCAACCACTGGCCAACCCTCTATTCTTTCGGGTCCTCTCCCGATATAAACGGACTACCCTACGGAAGACTAAGCGGGCAGGAACGGGGCTCTGATACCAGCTGTTATGAATTAATCAGAGTAATAAAAGGTAGTGTAATGGCTGCGTTCTGCAGGCAAAAAAGGAAAGTGCATATTACATCTGAGCACCTTCCGAAAGCGAGAGATTTTGCTTCGGATCGAGGGTCAGCCCGCAAATTTTTGCCCAAACCTGGCACAAGTTACACGAACCTAGTTACATCGACATGCTTGTAGAACAGGTCCAACCACACACGACATCTATGTCGAGGAAACACCCTCCTCGCTTCCCTCCCTGGCAAATATGACGCAAACTTGACGCAATGCTGACGTTCACTCAATTGCGGAGTTCACCTTGCGTATGTCGTTACATCAACCGCAAGGGTGTACTAGGCCTCTACACCCCAAAAATACAATCACCACCACTTTATCCCATCTCGCGAACTTGTGCCTGCCCTGCAAAAAAACAGCAGCTGAACTAACCCATCGCCAAAGAGAGTCGTATCGAGGGCATCTCAACAAACTCTTGGTTCTTTTTTTCGTCATTTTGCCCCGGAATATTTCTCAACTGCCCGGGGGCAGCAGGTTTTTGTTGCGCAATTTCGAAATTCGCTCCTCTCTCTTTTCGCTTGCGCTTTCCACAATTTGGTCGCGTGGCTTCCAAGCGAGGTTGGGAAAGTGCACCTGGTTTGGGTGGTAACCAGTGCTCTCGAAGTCGCTTGAGGAGCTTCCTCAATGTCGACGTCGACGTCAACGTCAAATGCCTACAGAACTCAGCCAATAAAAGGGAGTGTCAATACAAATGAGGGCCTAGGCATTTATTGGCAGAAACAGAGCTAGTCGAGAACCACGCGAATAGGTTGGGGCGGTCCGGTTGGCGAAAGCCACGGAAGCGCTGCGTCGAGGTTTGGGTTTTAGAAATGGTTAGGGACAGAAGAAGTTGGTCTCGAGAGTCGAGGCCGTACGCGCTGTAGTGGAGCCCAGTAAGGAAAAGGGAATTTCCTTACACCACCCCCTTCCGGGATGAGACTACCCACATCAAGCGTAATTAGCTGTTAGCTGTCGGAAACAGTGATTGCACAGCGATCTCCACGCGTCTAATGATTCGTGAACAGCCTCCGAGTCTCTGCTCTGACACCCACACTGCCAAACCGGACTCCGCCAGCCTTCCTTCCAGCTGCACATCGATTTCTCCGAGACAGGGCAGCTGAACGAAAGCTGTAAAGATTTCCACTGCCAGTGACTGCCAACCATGAAAACATCCCCCACCATTTCCGCCAGCCCTCGCCAATGCTCTGTTTCCCAGGTGGGCCCAAACCAGTCCCTAGGCACCCGCGAATCGCGCGAGTGGGGATGAGACTGGACCACTAGCACGCCTGCCTTGCTGGGTGAGTTCTGTGGCTGCGCGTGCATGTCTCGAGCTCGTCGCCGCCGGAGACGTGTCTAGCGCGTAATACAGCTTGGAAAAATCAGAAATCGACGCTCGAGATCGCCTCGAAGTCATCGTCTCCGACAAGGTTGGAGGCTGGATTGCACTGACGCGGTTCAATCTGCTCCGAGGAGTCCCAGATGCTTCCTTCAATGCACAAAGCGCAATCACATCAGACGTGGTGCAAGTTTCTGGGAGCTCCACTCTGGGAGCTTGGTTCTTGGGATTTCAGCTCCCACAGACAGACAGGAACAGAATACAGACGGAATCCTTTTCAATAGACGGGAAACTGGACATTTCCCTGCCATCTGGAACACAAATACCGCTCAGCAAATACCTGGCTGGCAACCGTCGAGCCAGCCATGATAAGCTGCAAAATTTGATCTTAAACGTTCAGAGTCTGCTTCTTACACGTAGGACAGCCCATTATCCAAAGAGTGGAGCTTCTCCTCAGCCTGTTTCGATTTGAGTTGATGTTATCAAGACTCTCGCCAGACTGTATTACCACGTACTAATCTGGCACCTCCTTTCCTTCAGCTGGAATGGCATCCGCCAGCAGGCAACACTCGAGTTGAGGAGGTATAAAATTCTCATCATTCTACTGGTCCTTAGGAGTGACTTGACGCGACAGCGAGATCTGACCTGGCACCTCCCTTGCGACCTGGAGCCACGGCTGGCGCCGAAGCAAAGATAGGACTCGGAGGAGCGTAGTTTCGACGTGGATGCATGATTGTGCTGTAGCTCACCAAGTTTACTAGGAGCCTGGGAACAAGCCATCATGGTTCGAGTGAGCTGGTCATTCGAATGACTCAACGCCGTTCTATCAATTTACAAGCCCTTCAGCTGCGTTACTGATCGCCACGTTCAGAGTCACAATACTAGCTTGCTGCTCGTTCCTACATACATGAGCTACTGTTGAAGCGTTTTCCCAGAATCCTTCACTACTGGGCTAACCATGGCGCAGGTGAACGTAGTGCGGCCTGCTCCACAGTGTGAGAATACGAGGCCATGGAGGGGTGTTGAAGAAGGGAACTTCCCTGGGAAGAGCAGCAGCAGCGCTGGATGCGTGAGTCAGAGGAAACGCATGAGTCCAAGGAAGTGCTGGAGTCCAAGGAGAAGCGTGGGTGAAGAAGCGGGCGTCAGAATGGATCAGGAAGGGAAAGTGCTGCCATGGCTCGGCCCGAGAGCAGCTCCAGGCAGTGTCAACTCGATGGAGGTGGAGGATTGTGCCGAGCCTGCTGCCGAACCTTGTGCCGAGCCTCGTGCTGAGCCTTGTGCTGAGTCGTCCCTGGAGCGGCCAAGGAGTGCATCGCCCCACCTTGACTTGAATCTCAACTCTTCCTCTCCCCAACACTCGTCAGAGCACTGTCCGAGCCCTACAAAGGAGGAGGAGAACGGGAAAGCAGGCCAAGAGCCGATGGATTTTCTGGATCTCAGCAGGGTTCTACCAAAAGCCGATGGAGCCAGTTCGTCAGCATCACGGGTTGCTCTCCCTTTCCTCTCCCTCTCATCCCCACCTGCCGCCAACCCTCCCCACTCATGGCCGAGCTCTACTTCGCCACCAGCCCCTGTCACTCCAGATTCCAGCGCTTCTCCTCTTTCCCTCGCCCTCTCCCTCTCGACCCTCCCTGCTGCTGAGCCATCGACCAACAACCAGCAACCAGCAAACATTGCAATCCCCTATCCTGCGGCTGTCGCCTCTGATGTGCCACCTGCCGCCCATACCCTTCCCTCCTCTCCCGATGCTGCTGCAGCATGTGTGTCGGTTCAGAAGGCTCGTGCCAGTGTTGTGCTTCAATCGCAATGTCAAGCTGCCCCCACCTCGGCTCTAGCGCCTCTCGCTACTCCTAGGCTTTTTGCCCTTACCCCTCAAATCCTCCTCCCAGCATTGACAACTCCCGTTCCTCCTCAAGTCTGCCCATCGTCGTCATCCACTCCTCTCACGTCTCCTCTCCACGCTGACCGTGCTGGGCTTGTCCGCTCCATCCTTGCTCTCCCCAATTCCTCCTCTCTCCTCACCTCCTCTTCTGCTGCTCCTGCGTCCTCTCGGTTCGATCCATCCGGGAGTGTGCGAGACCGGCACCCATCATCAGCATCAGCATCACCAGTGGATGCAATTGGGACAGCTGCAGTCAAGACAGTTGCTGCCGGAACAGCAGGAAAAGCCAGAACAGCAGCAACAGCCAGAACAGCAGCAACAGCGGCGGCAGCAGCAGGGGGAGCATCAGCATCAGCAGCAGCACCGCCATCATCATCATCAGGAGCAGCAGCGTCAGCACGAGCAGCGCTGGCAGCAGCAGCAGCAGTGCAGGCATCCACCAAAGTCCTCCCCATCTCCACTCCCCGCCCCTCCCTCCCTCCCTGCAAGCTTCCCCTTGCCTTCACCGCCCCACTAAACCCCCCCCCCAAGGGCGGCTTTTCCCCCTCCTTCCGATCTCCCTCTAACTGCACAAGCAGTCGGGCGCGTGCCATACGTAAATCCTCCCCGAAGTCCTGTACTTCAGTTTCGAAGACACGTGCGTTCCCGTCCCTGTCCTTGTCCCTGCAAGGGCGGCGTTCACACTCACCACCTGGGTCCCTACTTGCCAAGCGCAAGGCTGAGGCGATGGAATCTGAACCTGCTGGTCCTGGAATTTCTCTGCGAGGTGCCGCTGCTGCTGCTGCTTCAGCTGTTGCTACGGCTGCTGCTACGGCAGCTGCTACGGCCGCTGCACTTGCCAGTGCCAAACTTCCCTCACTAGACATTGAGAGTTTGATAGCTGCAAGGAAGAAGAGGCAGCACGTGGCCCTTTTAGGCCCTCTGGGACTCGTCGTCTCCCCAGGCAGCAGCAGCAGCTGCGGCCAGTCATCGTCTCCTACCATCCCACTAGCTGCATCCGTGCCCGCATCTCTGTCATCAGTCCTCTCCTCATCTTTGCCTGCCACGACTTTCAGCAGCAGCAGTCACATGCAAACCTCAGCACGGCTCTCTGCTCAGCTTGCTTCCTCTCTCTCTCAGCAAGCCTCAGTGCGCTCCTTCAGCTCGCTTGCATGCAGCACTGCACCACGCGGCGTGGCTGGGTGCTCTGCACCCACGTTCCCTGCTTCAACTCTTGCACCAGCCAACATCTCGTCTCCCTCTGCCATGGCACGAGTGAGGCGGCTCCAGGAGCACGCGGCGGCAGCAGCACTGTCACAGCCAGTGCAGCAGGGTTCAAGGGCGGAACCAGTGAGTGAGGTAGCACGGATACAGATGATCTTTCAGCATGCAGAAGCTGCATTTTGCTGCTCTTTAAAAAACTAGGTAGAGATCAGAAGTGATAGATGTACGGCAGAGTTTTCAAAGATTCCTCTAAAGACTGTTTCACTGCGATTATATTGGAACTTCAACTAGTTACCGGTTCCTCATAAATTTTCGGAGTGAACAGCTGCCCGAGGTTTAGTGGAGGTGTGGCGATATACTAGGCGACACTCTCCCGCCCTGGTGATCAATCGGACGATTCATTCAACCAAAGTTATGGCCAAGTATGGACCGTGCAGCCAGCCTGATACGGACTGATGAATTCGTGCACGGACCGATTCATACTAGGTGTATAGATCCCAGCTGAGTCTCGGGCGAAAATGTGTATAGAAGTAGACGCATTGAACCCAAAACAAAGCAAAAAAAGCCTAGAAACTAGATGCATTGTGTATCGGCATCTAGAAAGGCTTGTGCGCGATGAAGCTCATGCACTGCACCTGCTGCACATTGTCAAAGCCCAAAACGCGGATATAGCACTGGGGGTAGGCAGCCTTGCACTCGGCCAACTCCCGAAGCACCTGCGACGCGTCGGTGCAGCCGAAGAGGGGCAGCTTCCACATCGTCCAGTAGCGGCCGTCATAGTAGCCAGGGCCGCTGTTGTTTTCCCTGAAGACAACACCGCTGGGGTCGAACTCGAGGCAGGGAACCCAGCCCTTGGAGAGCATGTAGCGGATCTCCTTTGCAATCATGTCGTCGGTGAGCGCGGGCAGGTAGGAAAGAGTCTCGAACCTGGGGTTGTTGATGGGGCTCCAGACCTGAGAGCATCGAGAAAATACAAGGGAAAGAGAGTTGGCTCGTGTGATTGTGGTTGATTCTGCTGCTGGGAGGGATTCAATGAGATGTGCGAGCGGCAGAGTGTCGCAGAGCTTCAGGTGATCTAGGTATGAAGGCGTGTTCTGTGTTGCATCGTGTATCAATCAATCTAACTGTGATCACTAAAGGCGTGGTGGAACATGTATCGGGCACGCTAACAAAGAGGGCGTGCGGCTGAACGATGGCGTACATGGGGGGAAAACTTCCCGCAACTCAGAACAGGAAAATAGGTGAACATCAATCGAGCGAATAACGACGGGAGGGGCAATGCAGCGTGGCAGTGCAGCGTGATAATACATGCGGACAAAATACGTTGGCTATAGCTCACCTTCATGCAGGAGACGCGGCTGCTGTTGGAGACGGTCTTCGCGGCGAACTCGCTGGTCTTGGCGACGCCAGCCTTGAGGCCGGAGAAGGACATCGCCTTGGAGGCAGCGCCGGACGACTGCACCGCAGCCTGAAAGGCCGCAGGCGCGACAACGGCGGAGGAAGTAAGAGCAGCCATGTCTGTCTGCTGGATTGCTCAAGGATCTGAGCAAACTGGGAAATTGGATAGTGGAAGTCAGAAAAGCGTGGTTGGATTGGGAAAGACGTGATCGCACCGCCTATATATACCTCTGAATCAATGGTGGGTATGGTACCCTGATGGTTGTTCCTTTCAGGGAGAGTGCTTCAATTTGCGGCCTGGAAGCAGGGTTTGGAATGACAGGTGGAACAGATGGGAGGCTGAGAAGTCGTTCCTGCTATCGTGGCACCGTTGTGGCGAGTTTTGAGAGGCTGCTGAATTTGATGGATAATCGTGGCTGCCACATCAGGCGGCGAACCGCAAAATCCTCGTGGGGAAAAGAGGGAGGTCCGCAACGCGCCTCGTGTCAGCAATGGCGACAAATAATTCTTTGGGACACCTGGCCATGCCGAGGAAGTCCTATCCAGAAAATGATGAGGCATGAGTCACCATCCACGCAAGCACGAGCCCTACGTGGCATTACAGATCTGACAGGGTGCTGACAGCTCAAACAAGGAATGGAGTAGTTTTTGGTAAACTCTTAGAAGTTTTCGCTGCCCCAAACACTGTCTAAACGAAATTCGCTGACAGGTTGTGGGACATCAGGTTTGCAACAATGAGAGGCCCATATCCCTTCAACTTTGACAGGCCTAGAACGAGACCAAACATGCCAGAATATCCCCGAGATCGATGAACACGTGGATTCTGCGCTAATGGCTCGGATGAGGCAGCAATCTCAACAGCTTCTCAGCATGGTTGCGCTGGCAGTGGATTTTTATGCCTCCACGTCATTTCATGGAGAGATGATAGTGGAAATATCGCGATCTTTCTGGCCATTGTTTGATGACAGGTGGCGGACGCGATAAGGGTAACTAGTGGTTGACTCATTACAAGCTCTGAAGAGTGCAAGGAAGTAATTCCTTACTGAGGCACACTGCTACAACGTACATCGAACATACACGATACCAGGCTAGGCCCTAGTTCCGTCACTGTACAAGTTTCACCTAACCATTCCGCGTCGTTCCGAAGCGCTCCGCCTCCTCGGATGCCTTCTTTGAACCTGCGCGTTATGCGGTTGGGTTCCGCTCTGGTGTTTCCTATATCTACCCTCGTCATTCATTGTACAAGCCATATGCGACTAGTGCAATTATTCCGTTGGTGCAACACCCACGTACGCAACCCGGCCAATGGAAACAACTGCAGACTATCAAAGTTAACGAATGAATAAAACCATGGCATACAAAGGAATCGAATATAGTGGCTTGTACTCTCTAAGGCACAACCTTGTGTAGTCTATAACAACATACAAGGATATCTTTGACACACCCCCTAGACTAGATAGGGATAGTGCTTGGTGAGAGACAAGCAGCTCAGGGTGGCACTAGTAGTCCAGCCTGTGAGGCAAGGGTCTAAAGACCAGTCAAACGAGTACAGACAAGGCAAGAGCAAGACTAGGGCGCCACTACTAGTCCAGCCACTGGGAAGAGGCCACAAGGCTAGTCAAAGAAATATATATAAAGGTATGTACACAATCAAGGTCCTAACAAATGAGAGGCTACAAGAAAGAGACCTAGCTGTATGCAGTGCCGCTGATGATCTTTACAGACAAGCGCCTTCGTAAAGATATCAGCTGTATTGGCACCGGAGGCCAAGTATACTACGCAGGCCTGGCGACGCTGTTGTAGCTTACGCAGGAGGAAGTACCGCAGCTGGATGTGCTTCGTTCTGCCCTCCAGTCGAGGATCCTGACACAAGAGGATCATGGCCCTGTTGTCAGTGTACACAACCGAGGTAGAGCTAGGCCGCTCACCTAAGTCGGTGAGAAAAAAGGTCAGCCAGCGGGGCTCCTGTGGCGCCATGGCACCGGTGTAGATCTCACCCTCACAACTAGACGGGCAACAGACGAGAAGCGAGTGGACCTCCACAAGATGGGACCTGCACCAAGGCTAAAGGAGTAGCCCTGGGAGGACCTGAGACTCTCGGCGTCGTCTGCCCAAGAAGCGTCTGTGTGCCCGGTAAGGACCAGTGGCCTGCGTCCTCCCAGCACTAACCCTCGAGTAACGTAGCGCGCCTTGAAGACAGGCGGCTCTCCAGGAGGGCGCTTCACCTTGAAGAGCCATCGATCATCATCTACATTCAACCCAGGTGGGGGAACTGCGTCGACGAAGGTATCGGTGGATCTCCAAGATGCCATCTCCTGCTCCATGGCAGCTATCCACTAAGAGGCCCAGGGTCCCGAGGTGGCCTCAGCGTAGGTGCAAGGGGTCGGGATGTCAAGGGCGTCTGGGTCACCCTCAGGGACTAGCAGCATGGAACAGAGATGGGGAGCGGCCTCAGACAGGAAAGCAAGCTCGTACTGCCTGTCCTCTAGGACGTTACTGCCAAGGGCAGCCACACCCTCGAGGGACGGATGACAGGCTGGGTCAGAGACCAGAGCGGTAGCGTAGTCAAGGCGGTGGGTAGCGGCGAAGTCAGTGACATCAGCGACAAGAGCCGACAGACTCGAGACAGGAACAGACAGGTCGGTAAGAAGAGAGGCAAGGACACGAGGAACAAGTGGACGCGCAGCATGAAGGAAGTCGGAGAACGGGGGTGGGCCACAGCATGCGACGAGGGAGGAGGGGACGGGAGGAGTGGAGGAGTACGAGACGCGTAAGAGTGAAGCAACATAGGGTGAGACCGCTGAACACGGGAGGTAGGGCGAGCACGAGACGGACGACGAGACCAGACATGAGACGGAGAAGTCGGGTCAGGAGAGAGGGGAGGAGATACAAGAGGAGAACAGGGAGGGAAACGAGCCGGAGAGGAGTCTGGGGGAGGAAACACTGGGCCGTAGACTGGTGGAGGAGGAGGCGGTGGCAACAAAGGTGGCACTGGCAGGCGGCCAGGGGAAGGAAGACCGAGGAGGCGAAGAGCGGACACCGACGGCGACTGCTGCGACTGCGGCGACTGCTGCGACTGCTGCCGATTACTTCAGAGCATCTTCTGAAAGCGCGATTTTTTCCTTCGGCTCAAGGGTCAGCCAGAAATTTTCCTTCCAAACCTCACACAATGTACCCAAACCTGGTTACATCAAGATGCGTGCAGAACGCGTCCACCTACAGATGACATCGACGTCACGGAAGCACACTCCCTCGCTTCCCTCCCTGGAAAATGTGACGTAGATCTGACGCAACGTTGACATTTGCTAAATTGCGGAGTCCGCCTTGCGTGCGGCGTTACATCAGCCGCACGAGTGTACTAGGCCTCCACACCCCTAAAATGCAACCGCCAAAGCTTGACCCCACCAAAGGCGAACTTGGGCATGCCCTAAGGTTGTGGGATTGTAAGTGCATCTCCAAACCCTAGGTTATATTTTCCGTCATTTTACCCCATAATGTTTCTCATCTTCCCTAGGACAGTAGGTTTTTGTTGCGCAATTGTTAAATTTGCTCCTCTCTCCTTTCGCGCACGGATTCCACAGTTCGGTCGCGTGGCGTCTGAGCGAGGTTTGGAAAGTGCACCTGGTTTGGGTGGTGACTAGAACTCGCGAAATCGCTTGAGGAGCTTCCTCAATGTCGACGTCGATGTCGACGTCAAGTGCCTGCAGAACACAGCAACCGTAGTGTAGCGTATGTAGTCGTCGACAAGCACTAGGAAGTAGCGCTCGCGACGCGGCCCATGGACGGGGGCGGGGCCCCAGACGTCCATGTGCAGGGTGTGCAGCGGTGAAGCGATGGGGGGGAACGAGGAGGAGTGAGGGGCACGGCGGAGTCAGCCCTCGACGCAGGGCATGCACGGCGGCACAGGTGAGGAGGGTAGCGCGGGGAACGACTCAGGGAGACCTAAGACAAGACCGTGCTGAGACATGTGATAAAGACGTATAAGGGGTGACCTAGACGGTGGTGCCACTGAAGCGTCGGGTGAGTAAGCGACCGCTTCGAGTAAGCCGTGGCAACCTGGATAGACGCAAACACATGGGGAGACATCCCAACCGGGGGGGACGCGGTGTCGAGCGTGAACAGGCCAGACACGGAGTCCCGGAGGAACGTGGTGAGGGGAGAACCAGTGGCAGCCTCGTTACAGACAGCGTACTGCGCGTGACCAGGGAATGTAATGGTGACGCCAAGGTCCTGGAGGTAGCCGATACCAACTAGGTTCCTAGAGAACGAGGGGATGTGCAGGCCTATAAGGAAGCCCGAAGGAACCGCCGGACAGGGAAGGGTGGTGGAGCTACGGGCGACTATAGGACCTGAGGAAGGGTCTGCAAGGGCGACTGCGGCGGGAGTGGCAAGTGGCGTAAGCGTAGTGGAGTCCCAAAAGAAACACCGAGAAGCGCCGGAGTCCAGGGTGAAGGAGAGCGCGGCAGTGGCGGCAGGGTTCAGAGGAGCGAGGGTGGAGCCAAGGCTAAACAAAGCAGGGTATCCTACGCCTGACGCAACAGGGGAGTCTCAACTAGGCAACTTAGGCACACCTACACAAGGCAGCCTGGGGTAATAGGAACCAGTCACACAAGAGTCATCGACATACAGCACATACAAAGCATAGCTAATCTCATCCATGTCCATATAAAAGATTGTAACACCACGGCGGAGCAAACTGTGCTAGTCGGGGAGGTCTGGCACCAGGCCGAAGCGGAGACGAAACATGTTATCTAGGCGACTAAAACAACGAGTGGGGGAATGGCCGATCCTACCGCACACGAGGCCGCGGCGAGGACCAGTCTGGAGCTGGTACTAGCAGCGCCCGTTACTCGGACCACCACCCGACGTCACGCCGTGCCCATGACTACTGCGACCACCTCCACCACCGACGCCAGGCCACCCAAGCGAGAGACGACCGACCCGCCGCCGCTGCTGCTGCTGCTGCTGGGGCTGCTGCTCCGAGGCACCAGCCCCAGCCCCCTCGTCAGTACAACCAGCGGGCGAACCACCTCCACCACTGCCTCCACCCCCTCCTCCGCTACCTCCGCCGTGCCCAGCCTTGGGGCGGCGACCCTTACCCGGACGAAACTGCGCTGCGGCAGCCGCGATGACTGTCTCCGCAGCGGGGGTTGTCTCAGCGACAGCAGCAGAACCGTCAGAGTAACTGTACTGAG